GGGAAAATTCTTCTTGTCTAAAGGGATGTCAGGTGGTTGAAGGCCTTGGCTCCAACCTGAGGAATCTAAACTTCTTTGAGTAGGAAAAAGGAGAGTTGCAGATGCTTGAGCATTGGGATGGCGTCATAAAAGCAGTGTCTGATGAAAATCTGAAGTTGCATGTGTAATACGGGGCGTAGAGAACTGTTCAGTCCTCTTCCATCGCATCCACAGCCCCTAGGTAGGAACCTAGCCTGTAGTATCAGTTCATCCATAATCACTGACTGGGCAAACGGAAGAGGTCAAGGGCTGTTGGTAATACAGGCACGAAGTGGTGAAACCTGGATTAGGAAGGAGAACTGGAAAGGAACAGGGCTGCCCTACACACATTTGAAAAAGAGAATGCTACCATTTCCTATTCTAAAAGTGTGTTTATAAGAAAATCTCACTTTATATGAAATATAAAACAAACTTTCTTACAGTACTAATGCTCTAAACAATGATTGTTAGATCCCATCCGATTTTATAATGTTAATTAATCTAAAATATAGTGTAATCTAAGTACATTTATTATACACAAGGATCATTTGACAGGATTAACTCCAGAAAATAAATGCTAAATTCCAAATTGTACTTCACAATTTTAGTCACTGTATTGCTACGCAACAAAATGTTTAAAAGCTAAGCTGCTTAAAACAATAAGCATTTGGTTACATTTCATGATCTGGGCGGCAGGAATCTGGGTAGGTCTCAGCTGGGTGATTCTTCTACTCAGGAGCATGAGCCAAGATTTCACACAGGTGTGGTAGAGGTAACGATGGCCCAGCAGGCTTTCCTCCGCAGACTCCCCATGCAGGGATGCCAGGGACAACGGGCTGGGGTGCCTTCCAAGACACTGCAGGATAGGGCTCTCAGGGCAGCTGATCTACACAGTTAGAGCCCCTAGGAAGACTAGCGAGACCCAGCTGGAAACTGCAAGGCTTCTCAGATAGCACCACAGTGTTACACTTCCTTGTGTAGAGACTACAAAAGCGTGGCCTGGCTCATTGGAGGACCATCATTAGCGACCAATTTCTACAGTGCAGATATAATGTCTAGAGAAATTTAAACTGTATAGGTAAAAGCACCACACATCTTTCATGAGTAAAAGTCACCCAAAGTAAATCTCAAACTATACTCACACAAACCTACTCTTTCACTAATCAGCAGTCTTTTCCATATTCAGAAGAAAAACAAATTATCAATTTGTAACTAGTTTTTTAAATCATTCTTCTCGTTTCTCCATGATATTTTTAAAATCATTATTCCCTGATACCATCATTCCTTACTTATGAGGCAGGATAATTTTGAGAAAGATTTTGTTTTTCACATTGCATTTTTCTCCTCTCTGGTTCTGTGATGAGAGGATCTTGGTGCTTCCCTGCATAGGAGAAGTATACATGGTGGGTCTAAAAGCAGCAGGCTCTTACAGAATGCTTCCTTTCCTGACTTTTTGTTCTCATGAAGCCTGAGTTTCTGGAATCTGTTGTGGAGGAGAAAGGAAGAGATGGAAGTTGACAGGCAACAGTCTCTTGCACATTAGAGATCTCAAAGCTTCATGGTATGGCCATCTTGCACATTAGAGATCTCAAAGCTTCATGGTATGGCCATCTTGCACATTAGAGATCTCAAAGCTTCATGGTGTGGCCGTTCCATCCATTGCCTTCCTCTCCCCACACTCACAGAGCTGCCTGTACCACTTTTTTGGAACTTTTTCCTTCTCTGGAGTACAACCTGGGAATCATTGCTTTAGACCAATCTTTGTCAGATCTTCTGGGACGGGGATAGCGAGTGCGGGGTGGGGACAGACAGGAATGGTAGAATGGAAGTTGAAGAACTTCAGGTAAAAATTTCCATGTTACTCTATTGCATGAATAGTGGATAAACAAAATTGTAGAGTCACTTTTCGTAGCAACTTTCTTAGGTTGGAAGAACAGAACAGATACTAATCATCAAAACTAGAGAGCTGGGTAGTTGGAATTAACTGTTGGCAGGCAGAAAAGGATAATTAATTCGATTTCTGGAACAGTAAAGTTCAGGTTATAGCATCCTAAATAAAGCGGCCTATAAGCAATGGCGAATGTCACACAGATAAAAAAGGTCAGGTTTCCAGGTGGACATTGCAGCAATTGTTGAAAAATGATTGTTTAGATCATAGAGGGCTAAAGATAGAGCCACTGTGACATCCTGATGCATAAAGCCCCCCAATTGTATTTTACTTGGGTCACAGAATGCTAATGACCAGTTTGACTTGATTCTTAAAACTAGTGGTTGAAACGAACTCTGAATTATGCTTTTTCTAGAAAACAGGAAGACTTTCAGAGTTGGGACCCATATCCTTCTGTGGAGGGAGCTGCCACCTTCCCACAAGATTGCTGGGCAGTCAATAGTGTTTTCTAGTCAACTTCATCCACTCCACAGCGGCAAATATGAAGTCAAGATTCACTTTTGACCAAATTCTAGCCAGGCTCCTTTGAAGTCTTTCTCAGATGGGTCCTACCTTAAAAACTATAAAGACTTGGAAAAAAATAGTCTCTAACAGCTGAATGACACATTCCTACAATGACCATAACTGCCTTAAAAGTATTTTTCACAGAAAACTAAAGATTACAAAGATTATATATACTATTTGTAGCAAGAAACACCACAGGACAGGGCCACCATCTCCTGGCCTTTGTAAGAAGGAAGCAGCCTTTAATTCTGTAAGTACCAGTTAACAAACTCAGACACCCGCTGGACCCCACTTACTTCCCATTTTTTAAAAATTTTTCATTTCTCTGACTCTACCAGGCCCCAGGTCATCTCCCTCTGCATTCCCTCATTCTTCTTTTAAAATACTGCCCCCCCCCTTTTTTTGTACTGGGGATCAAACTCATGACCTCACACTTGCCAGGCAGGTGCTTGTGCTACTGAGCTAACCCCCCAGCTAAAATACCCAATTAATTCTGTACAAATAGAGTTCAGGTCACTCAGACTTTCCCCTCCTATAATAGCATACTACTGATTAAGATATGAATTTACAATCAGACCTACTAACGCTTTGTAATGACAGCACTTTGCAAGGCTGAGGCAGAAGGATTCCAAGTTCAAACGTAGTCTGGGCAATTTAACAATGTAGACATCCCTGTCTTAAAAAAAAAAAAAAAAAGGTTAAATATGTAGCTCAGTGCCAAGGCCCTGGGCTCAATCCCCAGTACCACACCTCCATGCACAAAATTCAAGTTTACGATTTTTAAATAGGTTAGGATTAGCTTTATTTTTGAGAGAAGGCCCTGTAATCAACAGAAGTCAATTAAGGTGTCAGATTTGGTTGTTTCCTTCCCTTAAGGAAGCTGAAAAAGAAATCAATACTAGGGGCTGGGGGTTTAGCTCAGCGGCATAAGCACCTGCCTTGAAAGCAGGCAGTCGTGAGTTCAATCCCCGGTACCGATAAAAAGGAAAAAGACCAAAAAAAAAAAAAAAAAAAAAAAAAAAAAAAAAAAAAAAAAAAGAAATCAATACTATAAGATGATGAACGTTGGTAGACTCTAGGTATCAGAGTTGGAAGGATTTAAGAATATAAACCAAAATTTTGTTTTGGGGAAGAAGACATTTGTTTCCCTCTGAAATTATAGAGAGGGATAACAGGATGTAGATGTGATAAAGAAATTACATCAAGAATAATAAAACTAAAGGGACGAGGAAAAAACCTTTACTGATCAGACTGAACTAATGGGCAGAAAGGCGGCTACAAATGAACAGAAACAAGTGCTTCTTTCAAGGACATGCTACATCCACAAAGTGTCACAACAACCTCTTTTGAATGACTCGATTTCTTACTGAACATTTTTGTTCTCTAATACAGATTATCAGAGACTGTTAAGTCAAATTGTATCAGTAGGGATAAAACAGTCCACTCTGGCCTATAAGACAGGATTCCCTAGGCAGTTGGATTGCTTCAGAAAGGGTTTTCTGAAACCATTTTGTACCTGTATGCACTAACTCTAGTGTGAGCCCTTCTGCATCGCTGGGAACCAATCAACCTGAATCTATAGCGCTATGGATTCATGGGGGGGGGTAGATGTTTGGATGAGTATAGCAGTTACTAGTCGTTTTTACAGTCCGGTGACTTATTTTTCAAACAAAACCTGGGGATCAGAGAAAGGCTTTCTAATTGTCACTGCAGTTCTTCGATCCACTTCAGAGCCATTCCCATGCAAAGAACCTTTTTGGCACCCATCTATGAAAGCAGAATGCAAAGTTCACTATGGAGTGGCCTTCTTGTATACAAAATCCACGTATTTATCTAAGTTCTCAAAAGAGCATCTTTACGCTACAGATCAGTCAGCCCTGGTTAGTGAGGCTCTCGAATTCCAAGTTTACGATCGGAGCCTGGAATCTTCCCCGTCCCGTATTCCCTGAACTTTCGAGGGCCTCGAGGGCGCAGGTGCGAGCTGCCGCCGCCCCGCTGTGCGACACCGCAGGCGGTCGCGACTGGGGCGAGGGGCGCAGGGTTTCTCCACCCGACTCCGGTTCCGCGTTTCTTCTGCAACCTACTTCACTCTTTAAGCGAAACTTCCTTTGTCTCTCACTCCGCGCTCCACATCAGGAAGGAGCACCCGCTCAGACCATAGCCGCGCCCCACCCTCCATTCAAATCCCTTTTCCTGGTCGCCTTCATGCCGCCGAAATGAAAACCCTTCTTTATAAGAATCTGGCACTAGAATTAAATAAACTGTAACTTTAGACCCTTTCTCCCCGAAGTAAAAGAAAGTGGAGTGAGAGTAGAGAACGCCGCGGCGACTTGGAGGTCCCAACAACCCAGCGAAGGAACTTGAAGATCGCAATCTGCTATCCCGAGAGGGCGGCGGCGGCGCCGGTGGCGTGGCCTCGGCGGCGCGGCGCGGGCGCGGATTGGTCGCCTGGCGGGCCGGGCTCCGAGCGCCTGCGCAAATCGGCTCCCGTGCCGCCCCGCCTGCCGCCCAGTCGCCGGTCTGCGGCCTCTGGGGGCGTCGGGGCTTTGCCGGCCGGGAAGCCGGCAAGCACAGCGCAGCGGACGAACGGGGGACCCGGCCTGCAGTTTAACATTAGGAAGCGGGGGGCCGCTCCCACGCCCCCTAGAATCTTCCCTGGTCCCGCAGCCTGCCCACGCCGGTAGGAAGAAGCTGAGGGCTCGGACGCTCTGCCCAGTGCCGCCGCCGCCGCCATGATGGAGCGGAAGTGAGGCGCGGGGCGAGGGCTGCGGGTGCCGGCGTCTGAGTCCGGTCCCCGCCGCCCCTGCTCTGCAGACCGCGGACTCCGCCCGCGCTCGCGACCCCCGCGCCTCGGCCGCAGCCGGGTTTCTCGCAGTCTGAGCGGCGGGGAGCGGCTCCCGGCCTGGGGCCCCGGCCGCCGGGAAGATGGCGGACCCGGCCGAGTGCAACATCAAAGTGATGTGTCGCTTCAGACCCCTCAACGAGTCGGAGGTGAACCGCGGCGACAAGTACGTCGCCAAGTTCCAGGGAGACGACACGGTGGTGATCGCGGTGAGTGGCTCCTGTCCCCACCTCCCGTCCTGCTGTTTCGGGCCTGGTTGGGCGGGGAGTTCAGGGACGTGGCGGGGTACAGGACCGAGAGGGAGCAGCGGGGTCCCCAGCCCTTCTCGGCCGGGAGTAACGTTGTGAGGGACGCAGTCCCGCGGGCGTTCCCTATCCGATCTCCCCACCCGGTGCCTGAGCCGGGACGGCTGCGCAGGTCTCAGTTGGGACCCTCCCCCGCCTGGGGGGGTCTGGGCGCGCCGCGTGGGAGCCGCCGTAGGGTCTGTTGCGAGTGTGTGTGTGCACTCGGTAACTGTTGCTGATGCTGCTTGTGTTTTGGACTACTCCCAGTTTTATCATTCATAAAGCTGTAAGATGAGCTCAGAGTTAAGCCAAGATACCGAGCTGTGAGACCAACTCCTCTGCACTTTTAAGTAGTTTGTTATATCGGACAGGAAGTATAAAACAAGCTTATGAAGAAGATAAAAAGTTGACCATTGTTAGGTTCGTACTTACATACGTCTTTGAAAACACTGTTCTCAGTTCAGGGAGAGTAAAAGTAAATAGTAAGATATTGCATACAGAACTGACTTAAGGGTGAGATTCATCTTTACTGGTTATGTCATGCAATTTTCTACATAATATTATTGGGGCACAAAATATTGGTATGTTAATTTGTATCGCAGTGAAATTTTACTTTTGTTGGGGCTGCTTAATTTGGAATTGGGGCAGAGAAGTAAGTCATGGGGATAAGACATTGCTGATGGCAGGCACTGACACACAAGACAAGACTCTGGACATTTTCCAGAGTTCACATCTAGAAAATGAATGTGTTAGCTCCACATCCTCTTGATAGGCTTTGGCAAAATTAATGACCTAATGATCATTAATAACTGCCAGCTGCTGTCGGGCCGGTTCTTTGTTAACCAGTCCTCCAGAGAAATTCTTTCTATGAATGACATCATAGCTGGGTGAAATTACGCATCGTGATCCTTTTCCTTGCAACAACTAGTTTAATTGTCAAACTTGAGGCTTATTAGTTTCTAAAGAGTTTTTGTGATGATTCAGCTTTAGTATTTCTTTTTTCACTTGTTACAGTAGTAAGGTTGTGTTATTTTTCCAGGTTTCTGTGTGTATTAAAACAAGTTTGTAAATATTACTAAGATTCTTTTTGTTGAAGTGCTGCAAATAATACATAAAATATGAACGACCTAAAAGAACTAATTGCCACAGGAAATATTGTTCCTTTGAAAAAAGTTAATTATAAATTTTGTTAACAAAATTTCTTTAGTAATCGAAATAAGTTTAGTTTATAATATTAAAAATAATGACTAGGTGCATCAACAGTGAATAGTTAGTTGATCTTTAAGTAAAATTGTGTTTTAGTCTACTCTATAGAAAGTGTACTGAAAACTACATTATAACTTGAGTAACGCGGCCTTTAAAATGCGGTAAGTTCTTAAGAACGTGTTTAATCCATTAGTTTCAGGAACTATGAACATGCTGGGGTCTTGTATTTCTGTTTTTTTAGTGAACTGTATGTTGAAAGGTTAGGAATTAATAAGGGCAGTGGGAGGAACAATATTCAAAAATCTCTGGAAAATCTTTGATTCGTTTCATTCATGTTTCTGGATCTGAATTGATATAGAATAAATTGTTTAGGAGAAAATTGCAGCAGTGCAGCATTGAAAACTAGTTAAATGAGAATTGAAAGCATAGCTTATAATGTTACTGAATTATTAGCATAATCCGTGCTTGTCATTTAAATGCTTGCTGTAGTACTGTATTGCATTAAATGAACTGTGAAAATCTTTAAATGATAAAAATATGTATTTTCTTTAAACTAGACAGCTTATTAAGCACAAAACAGAGGAAAGAGAAATAACTTACCATGTTCCTTTGGGCTTATTGGAAACATCCAAAAAAAGACAGAAAGAAAGAAAGAAAGAAATTGCTTCTGTATGTACTTAGGCATCATAAAGTCATTTTTCTGATTAAGTATCTTTGCTAATTTAGTTCCTTACATAGTGTACTGAAGAGCTGCCATAGCCAAAAAGAGGTTGCTACAGTTCACTGAAATTAAAAGAGAATAAAATTAATTACATTATCTTGCCCACTTTTTTTTTGCCTAAAGCAAAACATCAATTACCCTTTCAAGTCTGTGATTTGGTAAACATTCTTCATTACCTTGAGTGAAAAATAAAAATACAGTGAGCCATCATCACATGTCTTTTTAGTTGTGGAATGTTAGTGTACAACCATTGTCTAACTAAGGAAAACCTAATATGATACATTCCTGTAGGATTTGGAAAGATCACTATTCAGAATTTCAAACAGAAGCATATCCCTGCCAGAAGAGTGCCCTGCATTACCAAATTTGGTGTTCGGTCTGGTCTGTCCAGGCTCAAAACAGGATCACTTTCACTTAGTATGGTTGCAGTTCAGACAAACAACATTCCTATTTGATTTGTCCCCTTGAAGTCTTAAGTCAGGTAGAAATGCATCTTGTGTCTTACAGTTTGTAAAACTTAGTAACTTTGAAGATACATAGAATCGCAGGAAGCATAATGTCTATTTCAAGAATCAGGTATTTAAAATATAGATATTCTGAGATTTAGTTTTATTTATCTATGTCTTTTTTAGGTAGGGTTTTATCACTGCAGTTCAGGCCGGCCTTGAACTCATTTTGTAGTCTAGGCTGGTCTCAAACTCACAGGTATCCTCTTGCCTCTGCCTCTGTAGTGCTGGGATTACAGGTGTGCACCACCAAGCCTGGCTGTATAATTATTTTGAAAGATTGAATTATGCCTTAATTTTAGACTATTAAAAATTGTGTTTCACAGAAGCTTGATTTTTCCACCCCAAGAAACCAGGAGCAGTTAGGAACTAGATCGTCAGTCAAAACATTTGCCTTACTTCATAAAATTATAATTTAGTTTTGTAATTAAATGACAACTTGTTAATACCAAGCACTTGATGTTGATTTAATAATTATGGAACTCCAAAAAGTTACTCAGTTCCAACTTGTTTTTATGTTTATGTTGCCTTTTAATTGATGCCATTCCCATTATTTCAGTAATGTTTTGCCTGTTCACTATGAGATGATGCTTAAATAGTTGGATTAAGTTCTTTTGAGGCAGGCTTTACTACTGCCCATTACTACTGCATATTATTCTTGTAAATGGTTTAGGCATACTTTTTTTATTGATGTAAAAATTGAGTGAGATATGACATAAAGTCTAATGTTCTTTGAGTGTTCTTTAAATGTTTATTTTAATATAATTTTATTATGTAACTTATTTTGTAGTATTTGTCCTAATACTTGTACCTGTTTTGTCTTATTGTTTCTTGCAATTAGTGGAATTAACCATTTTTAAACTTTTGCATTCATACCACTTTTATACATCTTTTATTAAATGTATATTAGAGCTAGTTGTGGTCTCTTCTTTACCAGAAGAGGCCAACTCCATTTCAATTTAGTTATCATTACTTAATCATCTTCTTAGCTTAGTTTTCAAGATTCTGTCTAGCCTTATCCTTTATTACTCTTTTGGACTATGTATATCCTGTATTGGTTAAATATTATTTCCAAAATTGTGTTACTTAGCCTAAGTATCTTTGTTTGGTGCCGGGGATCGAACTCACGACCTCACGCTTTCCAGACTGGCACTTAGGCTGCTGAGCTAAATTCCCAGCCATACATCTTACAGCTCTAAGTGCTTGCTGCCTAAATGAAGAGGGATTTTTTTTTTTTTTTTTTTTTTTTGGCCTAGAAAAACTACTTGCAAGGTTTATCTGTATGGTGATCATTATTTTGATTGTATGCATTTGTTTTTGGAGTATTATTTATGAACATATTTTGTATAAAGTGGTCATTTTTTTTTTATCGGTACCGGAGATCGAACTCACGACCACGCACTTGAAAGGCAGGTGCTTATGCCACTGAGCTAAATCCCCAGCCCCAAAGTGATCATCTTTTTAACCACACCTGTGGATTTGAATGTTAATATACCAGTAATATCTTAGCAAAAGGATATTTTCGTGTATGTCATAGTTAATCAGATATCGATGACATTTTGAATTCATGCTGAAATGAGGCAATTTAGTACATGCAGTGTATCCATCAGGAATCTTCTAGCTGCAGAGGAAACCATACAAATAATATGGCTCAAATAAATAAAGGATTTTTTTTCTTACATAGCTAAAAAGCTTAGAAGTTGTGGGCCCTTACTTGTTTCTAGGATCCTGCTCTTACATTCTGTCATTAACTGTTGATTTTGCATCATCATACTGGGCTTGATGCAAGTGATAAGGGTTCCAGTGGGAATGGGGAAATGGAAAATGGCTTTGGATAGCCCTTGAGGAAGTCTTTGCTTTATTTTGACTGTTATTCCAAGTTTTGTGAGAGTTTCTTAAAAAGTTGTGTTTTGTTTTTTTCATTTTTCAATTAAGTTGTAGGAAGCATAGCTTAACTGAAAGTGGGTGTCGTGATTATTTTATGTTTTTAGAGCCCAGCTTTCCTTTAAGACTGGAAAGCAGCCAGATATGAAAATGCCTGAAGCTGTCTGCTGCTGCTGCTTATCTCTAGGTGGTCACTATCCTCCTAAAGGACTAGGTTTTTCTCTTAGCATTTAAATTTGTGTAGTTCGCCATCTTTTAAAAAAAAGTTTTATTTTTCCTTTTTTGGTACCAAGGATCAAACTCTTGACCTTGCACTTGCCAGGCAAGCGTTTGTGCTGCTCAGCTAAGTTACTTCACTTTATTTTTACTTATTTGTTTTACTTGTTACGTCCTGACCTTTACCATTGGATATTTCTCAGTTCTGTCTCCACTTTACAGTTCTCTTCGTCCCTGACTTATTACATGGAGATTGTATTTTTTTTTTTTTCATTCAATTGCTCTGCCTCCTTAGCTTACTAATAGTTCTCCAAGGCTGGTTTTTACAGAGTTGCTAAGACACTTTTAGTATTCACAGAGCTCATACTGCTTGCAAAGCAAGACATTATTTTCCATTTTTAACAATTGCATTTTGTCCTTGTACTTTACATTTAAACTCTATAGTTTCTTGAATGCTGTTAGTTCCTTTCTGCCTTGGTATCTTTAAGTATCCTGTTCTTAAAGCCTACACTATTTTCCCACACTAAGTTCCCCTCCTTCATGACTAGTATGCAGAGAGTGATCGTGAGCTACTAATTCTTTGGCTTTTAAACATTTCTTTTCTTTCTTTCTTTTTTTTTTTTTTTTTTTTTTTTGTTGTTGTTGTTGTTGTTTTTTTGAGACTGAATCTCACTATGCAGTGCAGGCTGGTCTTGAACTCACTATGTAACTCAGGCTAACCTTAAACTTATGGTGATCCTCCTGCCTCAGCCTCCTGAGTGCTAGGATTATAGTGTGCCCCACCACAGCCAGTTTTTAAACATTTCTTAAATATCCCTTTCTGAGAGTTTTTCTGACACTTCATGTTCACCTCTGGACTCAGGTTCTTTTGTATCCTCTCACAGCATAGTCATAGCACTGCAGTTGCATGAGTCAGAATTCTAGTCACTTATTTGGCTAATGTCTGCTCTGCTATTAAGTTCCATTAAAGCAGAGAGAATCCATCTTGGTCATCAGTCTAGTATGGGAAAAAGCTGTTGTACTAAACTGAAAAGCTGGATACAATACTGGAAACAGGCCTTAAACTTTATCACTAATGAATTTTGTATGTGTCAAAGTGTTTTCTTGGCTACATAATATTAGTATTAAAAATAGATGTACCCAGTTTTTAGAACAAATTCACGCAGCAGTGACTTAGTAGCTACCACAGTAATGATGCATATAATTACTGTGATAGACCATGGGAATACCACAAGGACTAAAGCAAACCTTACCTTCCTGAGTTTATTCTAATGGATTTGGACATGAGTCCTTCCCACCCAGAAGATAAATGATATGAAATGATTCTCCTGAAGGTTGCATGTGTAATGGCATACTTTAAGGAGCTGAGAAATACCCATTCATTTTTAGTTTGTGTTATTTATTTATTTGGGTACCAGGAATTGAATTCATGACCTTGGACTTGTCAAGCAGATGCTTGCACTGCTGAGCCAAATCCCCAACCTAAAGTTGTTTTAGTTTTGTTTTGGTTTTTGTTTTTTTGGTACCAGGAATTGAACTCAGGACCTTGCACTTACTTGCCAGGCAGGCACTGTGCCACTAGGCTATATCCCTGGCTTAGTTTGTGTAATTTAATCATGTGTTTTTGTCTTTCAGTCCAAGCCTTATGCATTTGATCGGGTATTCCAGTCAAGCACATCTCAAGAGCAAGTATACAATGACTGTGCAAAGAAGATTGTTAAAGGTAAATATATTTAACTGCTAAACTTAGTTTAGTTACTGTCCCAGCAGTAAGTGAAGTGTAATTTGAGGTATTTCCCACCTAACACGTGAATACCTGAATGCCTCATCTAAGTTAATGGCAGGACAAAGTTCAGATCATAAAATGTTCACATGCAGTTCTTTAACATACTACCATCTGACATAGCATGCTCACCTACGTACAGTACACAGTGAATGGTGTTGGTAGGAATTATGTTGGAGGCTTCGTCTTGAAAAATGTCTGTATTGCATGTTCCTAGGAAAGTTTACAAGATAGCAATTCTACAAATAGTACAATATGAGAATAAAAATAAAGTGGCTAGACTGGTTTATAAGAAGTAGTAGAAAAACAGGGGCCGGGGATTTAGCTTGGCAGCTCAAGCACTTGCCCAGTAAGCACAAGGTTGTGAGTTCAAGCCCCATACCAAAAAAAAAAAAAAGAATGCTGGTCAAAAAGTAGTAGGAAATGACAGTCTGTAATTCTTCCACTCCATTGTTCTTTCTTCCCCAAAGATTTATCTTGAAATCAGTAGAAAAACCTTTGAGGAGTTTAGCAGGGTTTGCCAAAGGTGAGAAAAGTAATGTGTGTTTCAGTTAATACTATTAACTAACACTAGGCTGCTTTTCAATTTTGTATTTTCTAGTTGTTTGTTGATATGTTTTAGATATATACAAGGTCCATATCTATTATAGGGAATTTGTGCCTGTATGTGATAATTTTGATTCCCCTTTTTTCTTCTCCTTTTTTCCCCATCTGTTCTCCTCCCTTTAACCCTTCTTTGCCTCCCTATTTAATTTTGTATTTTCTAAAGCCATAGAAATCTAGTGCTGAGATTTTCTGAAATTACTTTGTAGTTGTGATATAAATTCTTTGTATTAAAGAGATCTTACAAATTAAATAGCTATTTATTATATGACTTACTCCTTTTTTTTTTAACTGAGTGTTTTGAAATTGTTTCTTAAATTGAAGTAAAAATCTTTTCTTGTAGCATTTACCAGATTAAAGGGTTTGGAATTCCATACAAAAGTGAATGGGTTAGGATTAAGTAGGAGCACAGATAATTCATCCCAGGAACAGAAGAGGAAATGGAGTTTATGGATAGAAGCAAGCGTCATAAAGGGAAAATATGAACATTTTTAAATGTTAATTCCACATTGTCTGTGATACAAGAATGAGCATCAGAAAGGGAAGAGGAGCAAGAGTTTGTAGGAAAAGACATGGAATGGGAGGAGTTGCAGTATCGTCACGCAATGGTAAGGGTCAGCTGGTGATTAGCTGCCTCGAGAGTTGAATTTATCCATTTTGAATTTGGCCAGGGAAGGAATTAAGGATATTGTCAAGGGAATGATCGTAACGACAAACCATGAAACCTAAGGTGGAAAGTTTCGGGAAAGAAGAAATAACAGAGGCTACAGGACAGTGGAAAAATAGTAGGTTATACGTCTCAGTGATAGTAAGGTTCTTTGGGATCAGGGCACTAAAAGGAGTAAATAGAAGGTGAACATTTAAATTTAAGATTTTGGAGGTACTACAGTTAGTAAAAATGTCAGGATCTTACCATGGAGTTGACACCCGTGGTAGTAGATGACAAGATCATAGAAAAAGGTCAGGAATCTGAGGGGGTGTTGTTGTGCGATGTCTATTATATGGACATTGAAATCACCAAGCATTACAACAGGAATGGTATTGGTGAGAGACAATGAACTTGGTGTTGATATTATCGTAAAGTGGGTGGGAGTTATCTTAAGATTCTGTAACTTACTACAGCAAAGAACAAGCAGTGTCATATCCTAGCATCAAATAATTTTCCAGATGGATCTTTACAGAGCATATTTTCTTTGTTACGACCTACTTTTGTTACCAGGACAACTAAAACTTAGTTCATTTTCTTCAAGGACATTTCTCTTTTTTGATCTGTCCTTTGGTACCAGGGATCCAACTCACTATCACATGCTTGCAAGGCATGTGCTTATGCCACTGAGCTAAATCTCTGGCCTTATAGCTAAAAGTTATATTACCCTTTTTTTTTTTTTTTTGGTGCGGGGGATCAAACTCACGACCTTGAGTTTGCCAAGCAGGCACTGACGCCACTGAGCTAAATCCCCGGCCCTATATTACCATTTTAAGTGAACAATTCGTGAACTCATGGGCAGTCCAAACCTTTTTCTGTACTTGCACATTGAAACACAAGCCTTTTATACATCATCATATTTTAGTTTTATGGTTATTTTACTAGGGGCCTTTTATGATAGCTGTAAGCATATTTGATTAGCCTCTCATGGTATTGAACCATTTATAAAGCTTGATGGGTCTTATTAGTCTTCTAAAAGCTGAATAAGGTTATTGGCAGTTAATTAAAGCACCCTGGGACTTTAGTCTACCTCAGAGCTTCTTCTTGTATGGTTTTTGGTTCTTAGTTTGTCAACATATCCATAAAATTATGAAAAACTTGGATCTTTTTATGAAATCATGGTGCATGATTGGTATTTTCCTTAATTACTGGATGAATGACTCTAGTCAAAGAGGAAATGAAGTTCAGATATATTTATTCTTCAGTGAAATTTTGGTATACTTGTCTGTAGTTCCACTATTGTTCCTGTTTTGAAAATGAGTATTATTTGTAACTAGACAGACATGGTGACACATGCCTGTAATCCCAGCTCTCACGTAGGAGGAACACTGAGTTCAAGGCCAGCCAGAACTACATAGAGAGCTCCTATCTCCAAAACCAAACCATACCAAAAAAAACCCAGCTTAGGTGCAGTAGCTGGGAGATTTTTCACCCTGGAATGTAATTCTCTTCATAAGCAAAAGCTTGCACTTGTTTCAAACCTATGTTTTGCTGCCATCCTACCCACACCATCCTGAACTCAAGTATGTTTTACTGTGTTCTCTGAAGAACACGTTTGTGGGAGATCATAATGAAATAAGAATAGTGCAGTCTTAGTAGTGTCAGTTAATAGTTTATCATCTTTCTTAAGCAATACAAATTTACTCATTATTCTTTTTTTGTATTTATATATTATATATTATAGTTTATTATATAAATAAAACAAGGTTTTTGTCACATATTCCAGTAATGTTTAAAGAGTTCAAAATATGAAGGCTTAAAAATGTATTCCCCTTATATAATGTATACTATTTCTTTTTTGGGGGGGATATCAGTAGGGAATTACTATTATTATTTTTTTTTTTTGAAAGTATACAACAGAACAAGTCAGAATAAAGCCAACTAAGATCGTACAGTGAAATTGGTACAGAACTTCACAGTTGGTTACCGGGACAACAGTAATAGGTATCACAGTATATTTTGGTATCTTTATAATAGTTGTTCTTTCAATCACGTATATCAAAATGAGATGAAATATAGAATACTATAGAGCTTATCAAAACAGAATATTGAACAGAAAAGAGCAAAATAGTAATAAAAATATTTGCCTTCAAAGACATGGTAGAAGGAAGTCCCCCTTATTTGCTATGGCCAACCTCCAAGGAGATGCTCAGATTTCTGGTTCCCATTTGCTAATGGGCGGGGGGGGGGGGGTAGAAGAAGGATAATCAGGGAAGTGGGATATTTGACTCTAGGCCATATAGGGTAGGTTCACTATTGCTAAGCAGGGAGGCAGGATGGTCATTTGTTTTCACAGCGTCCTCAGTTCCAACATGGCGTGGAACTCAGGAGACACTGCTGGTTCTCCCCCTGGAAGGGCTGCAGTGGGCCACACTGCTGCCACTTACCAGGGAGGGGAGGTGCTTGCTTGGCTTCCCAGAGTCCTAAGTTCCAACATGGCATGGATCTCAGGAGACACTGCTGGTTCTCCCCCTGGAAGGGCTATAGTCTGCCACCCTGTCTCCTCTTACCAGGGAGGGGAGGTGCTTGCTTGCCTTTCCAGAGTCCTAAGTTCCAACATGGTGCTGATCTCAGGAGACACTGCTGGTTCTGCCCCTGGAAGGGCTGCATGCAGTCTGCCACCCTGCCTCCACTTACCAGGGAGGGGAGGTGCTTGCTTGGCTTCCCAGAGTCCTAAGTTCCAACATGATGTATACTATTTCTAATATATGAAATGTGAACAGGAGTCGTTTTTTATATTATGAATCAGCAATATTTAGCATCAGTTTATTTTTTCTGAATACGGCTTTAAAAGCTCTTTTTTATAAGGCCTTAGTTTTATTTTGCTTTGGGAAGCATTCTTTCTCATAAAATTTTAGTAATTTTTTATTCTTGAACATCTTTGCTTAATATGGTTTTAATAAGCTCATGGCTCCCTTCTTAGAATTCTTTGAAATCTATAGTTCCGGATAACTAGGGTATATGTATTACTACTTTTGTTCTGTTTTAGTTTGTTTTGTTTGAGACAGTGTCTCCCTATGCAGTTTAGACTGGGCTTGAGCTCATTGTGTAGCTCAGACTCACACAGTCACGCACCATCATGCCTGACACTACTGTTTATATTTCTAAGATGGCATAATTTGTTTCTTGAAATTTTTTCTTTTTTGCAAAACTTTAGTCCCTTTTTTTGGTACTGGGAATTGAACTCAGTACCTTACGCTTGCCAAACAGGCTCTGTTTAGTTCCTTCTTTACCAACATGTTCCTGCCTTCCTGTTTATAATTGAGTTCAGGATAATAGTTTCCTTCTTTGTGGTATAATCAAGAATATAGACTTGGAGCTAGGCATGATGATAATATCCTGTAATTATACCACTTGAGAGGCTGAGGCAGGCTGGTCATGAGTTTGAGGCCAGCTTGGGCTACATGATGAGTTCCAGGTTAGCCTAGATATATAATGAGTCCGTGTCTCCAAAGAAGTGCATAGAATTTGAAATTGGCCTAAATTGAAGTCTAGACTCTGTCATTTTTTACCTGTGTGGCTTTTGATAAAGGTACCTTACTAAATCTCCATTTTCCCCTCAGTAGGGAGTATTGTAATGGCTTAAGCATGCAGCAAGTATTAGCCATTAAATCTGCTCTCAATGTATCTGAGAGAAACTCATAATCTAAAATATTTCCACAACGCAAAGTTAGAGTTCCAGCAAGTGTTAGGATAGAAAGTGTTTTTCACTATCGCTTTTGTTTCTGTGCCAGGTTTATAATTTATATTGGGACAGTATCACTTGACTATAACTTCTCCTTTTGTCATCACCCATAAACTACTATTTTAGTTATCAGTGATAACTAAACATACTAACATAACATAAATTGACTAACATAAATTGAAGGAGAGAGATGGAATGGGGTTAGGTGATGGGTGCCTAGAGAAGTGGAAGGGCAGGAAGTCAGTTAACATATGGCACCTCAAATTGGAATAATCATTGGTGGACAGAGTAGGGGGAGGCCATCATTAAAAATTGTTGGTAGGCAAAAATCAGCAAGATGGTGCCCCGAATGGGATTTGCGAGATGTGAATTTGTCGAGCAAGCTGCCAAGAATGACCTAAAAGCACTCTGACCTGTCTGCTGAGTTAACACTGATTCATAAGAATGTAGCTTTATTATGTATGGGACTGTTATCTTTCTGGTTTGTAGACTCATTGGATAGATTTTTTTTTTTTTTTTTTTAATGTGTTTTTGAGACAAGGTCTCACTATGCAGTTCAGGCTGCCCTTGGGTTCACTTTGTAGCCCAGGCTGGTCTCAAACTTGCACTGATCCTCCTGCCTCAGCCTCCCTAGTGCTGGGATTACAGGAGTGCGCCACCACGCCTGGCTCCATAGAACTTTTTTTAACATAGTTTGCTTGCTTGTGTTCTGTTGAGAATTCAGCATCTGACTGAGTTTTGCAAATTTATTTTCCCTATGTTAAGCAGTTGTCATTTAGCTGGACAAGGTGGGCATACCTATAATCCCAGAATGCTGGTGGTAGACTGAGGCAAGAGGATTGCAAGTTTGAGCCTAGCCTGAGTGACTTAGTAAGATAAGACCCTGTCTCAAAATGAAAAATAGATAAATGAATAAATAAAAAGGAGCTGGAAATGTAGTTCAGTGAGAAGGCCCCGGCTTCAGTACCCCAGCCAAAGAAAGGAGTCATTTCTTTAATTCTTTAATGCCTATGTATGCCAGGCTTTCATAGGTTTCCTGGTTCCCACCGTGGCTTCTTAGCCTGGACTATTTGCCACTGTATCTACCTTCTGGTGTTTCTCCATGTAGGATGGCGTATATTTACTTGACTTGACTAGAGTTTTGTAAGGATTTATGGAAAATGGTTACCACCTGGCATATTGTAACCTTTCAATATTAGCGGTAGTAATCTTGTATGATAGCTTCAATATCAGCAGTAATAATCTTGTATGATTTCCTGTAAGCAGATGTTTTGCTGATGAAGAAGCTGAAATTCAGTGACTTTGAAGATGATGACCTATTTCATTAGATATGATTTTTAAATCATCAAAGTAATACTTTTCAGAGTTGTCTGCCTCTGTTTGTCAAAAGATCAAAAGTATATTTTAAAAGAGGAAGGAACCTTTAGAAAGATGTGTTAGTGATGGATGGTAATATTCTTTCAGCAGACATTTAAATTCTTACTAAATGCCAGGCATTGTTAGTAGTTAAACACACCCTGAACGCAGGGACTTCCCAGGCTGATGGAGAAATGAACAGTCCAGTGCTCTGGTAGTACTGTGGTGACATGGAGATACAGAGGTGTAAGAGCACAGAGGGCGAAGTATTTCCTTGCCTGTTTTTACCTATGGCGGGTTGTAGAGTTAGGTTAGAGGAAGCAGTCAGGCCTGTAGTCTTAAAGGAAAGAGCAGGAAGGAGAACAGAAGGATCTTCTGGGTAGAGCACTGAGGCCTGGCCTTCAGCCCACGTACCGTGGGAGAAGAGTGTACTGCATGGGTGGCAGGAGCACTCATGCATTTGTGGTCTGACTTCAGGTTGAACCATGTGAAAATGTCAGATTTGACAACTTCGAGAAAACTAGCAATGTAAGGAGGGGGTGGGTGGTGGACGGTTGGAGCTGAAAATAAACAAGAGCTACTGTCAAAATACCCCATTTTCTCTGTTTACTGATGTGGTTTTTCTAGGATTTTCAAGCATTATTGTATGTTTGAAAAGATACATACCTAAGATATCTACATTTCATTATGTTGAGGTTTTATCTAAAAGGGAAAATGCAAAATACCAAATTTGAGTTAGTGATACCTGCATAGTGAAGTGTTTAGGTACTAAAGTGTATACTAATGCCTGCAGTTTACTCTGAAATGCATTTTTAAAAACAGGCAGGCAGAAAAATGGATAGATAACGTGATGGATGCAAACATTAAACTAATAGAGCATCTTGTGTTAAATTTTTACAATAAAATACTTGAATCAAAATCATTATAGAAAACAAAGTGAGGAGTAGATTTAAAAGTGATTACTGTTGGCCCTCAGAGGCCACAGATCTGCTTTAGTTCGAAAGTGTTCAAAGAAGTGCATACCTGTAATCCAAGCACTTTGAAAGGCTGAGGCAGGAAGGTTGCAAATTCAGGCCAAGCCTGAGTAATTTAGTGATTCAGTAACACCCATTTCAGAATTACACGGAGGGCAGAGAGGAGGTTAGGGATGTCGGTTGTGTGACAATCCTGGTTTAATCCCCAGTACTACAAAAACAAGAAAAACTAAAAAAAGTTGTATGTGTACTAAACATAGATCTGCTTTTTCTCCTCATTATTCCCTAAATGATAAATACATTATTTATTTGTATGGCACTTGCTCTATGATGATAGGCATTACAAAAAATATAAAGATGGTTTATGGGAGGATGTGGATAGAGAAAAGTTACATACAAAAATTTCCATTTTAGGGGCTGGGGATTTAGCTCAGTAGGCAGTCATGAGTTCGATCTCCGTACCGATAAAAAGGAAAAAGACGAAAAAAAAATCCATTTTATGTTAACATACCCGAGCATGTGATTTTTTTTTTTTTGTGGTACCAGGGATTGAATTTGTAACCTTGCACTTGCTGAGCAGGTGCTTATGCCGCTAAGCTAAATCTCCAGCCCTTATCTGTGAATTTTGAGAGCTGTCAGGGGTCCTGCAACCACTCCCTCTTGTATCCTGAAGGATGACTTTGTTTCTAGTTGATAAATGATACTGCTGCAGTGGTACTTGGCTATCTAAAAATCACTTTATTAGTTCTGCCCCCCCCACACACACACAAAGCAGAACCTAGATCTTGTATAGCAGATGGTTGGTCAATATTTCAGTGTTGCGTTTTCCATGCTCTGTTTAATCACATGAAGCTTTCCGTTCCGCTTGAAGTTTCACATATTACATGAATACCCTTACTAGCCTTGCAGTCCTCTCATGTGATACAGTTTCAAAGAGGCTTGTGTTTGTGAAATTTTTAGAGTGATTAATACCTCGGTAAGGTTAATCATGACATTTTCCTGGAAAATTCTTGAGTAACATATGAATCTTGTTTAAGGAGAACATTCCTCTTATTTTCTCATAGATGTACTTGAAGGATACAATGGAACAATATTTGCATATGGACAAACATCCTCTGGGAAGACACACACGATGGAGGTAATGTTTTATAATCTGTCATTGGATGTAGTTGCAGTGTAGACTAGACTTGCAATATTAGAGATAATATTCTGCTATGGTGTAAGCACCTGTATTTGCTCCTTCTCATACGTATAATATACAAATAGTGTTTGAGATTATATGTGAGATTATATGTGACTTTGTCTTACTGGTTAGCATAATCACAAAATAGTGAACATTTTAGAATATTTTCATCATCCTATTATACAGGAAAATTTGGATTCTTATGTATTGTGTGCTCTGTTCAGGGCAGTTAATGTTTTCCTCCTCTCTTGGTCTCTCCCCACTTGAAATCCTCTCTCCTCTGTTAAGAGCGCCACCACAGTTATAAGTGCCGCCGTTAACAGTGATCTATTCTAACTCTGCTTCCAGAAAACAGCCACTTGTGCACTGCTGCCATTTACCTGAGCTTTCTATATAAAGTGCAGTGTAACATTTTGGTAAAATGTCTGCTGCTCATTTTTATTAAGAAGTAGAGAAAGAAAACATTCCTAGCATTTGCATACATTTAATTAAAAATGGAATGATGCACGTTTATGTAGGAAGAAACTAAAATCTTTTCAAATATGTTCATTTTACAAGGAAGGATAATACAAATCCTAGTAATCAAGAGCTGAGATAAGTTGGTAAATCAGATAATTGATGTACATTATTAAGAGGTGATAATTGAATTGGGTTATATTAGACATTTGTAGAATTACTTCTAATAATAACAGTTTCTGTCCTCTATTCATTTTTAGTTCATTTTATAATACAAGAAGTCTAGTTTTGTTTTTTTTTTTTTTCCTGTGTAGGGTAAACTCCATGATCCAGAAGGCATGGGAATTATCCCAAGAATTGTGCAAGATATTTTTAATTATATTTACTCCATGGATGAAAATTTGGAATTTCATATTAAGGTAAATTCCTTGGGAAAAGAATATTTTATTGTATACTTAATAATTTTTTCCCTAAAGTATAGTAATGCTATTTGCTTTTTATTTAAGTAATTTTTTAAGATATTATTTTATGGACAAATGGCAATCAAAAGACCTTTAGGGTTATTGATCTTGATTGTTTTCCATGTGCCACTAGACAACTTAAAGTTACGGTAATGCTGAGTGCAGTGGCTTATGCCTGTAATCCCAGCACTTGGGAGGCTGAGGCAGGAGGATCGTTGCAAGTTTGAGACCAACCTGGGCTACAAAGTGAGCCCAAGGCCAGCCTGAAGTGCATAGTGAGACCCTGTCTCAAAAAGACAGTGATTAAAAGATGAATATAGAGATTAGAAGAAAATGATAAAAGCAAAACAGTAGTGACAATATAGGATTTCAAAACAAGCTGATAAGAAATTAACAGTAGTCACTATATTACATATTGGTATCCTCAGAATAGTTGCTCACATTGCAAGATACAGGCATGCAAAACAGATAAAGAATAAAAGCAATCAGTTTCTTTGAACTAATAGGATCAATAATACAATTATCTTCGCTATCTTATGTATGTGTATGTGTGTATATATTTTTCCCCCTTTTCTCTTTCCCCATCTCAGTTGTTCTTTCCTTTTGAGTAGTTTTATTCCTTTTTGCAATATCTGTGATACCTTTTGAACCTTTTTAATCTTAGTTTTTTACATAAGGGAGACAGTAAGGTGTTTACAGATGAAAATCTGATTTATTTCACTTAAGAGTGTGGTCTCTAGGGCCATCCATTTAGCTACAAAAGCTTTGAGTTTATTCTTCTTTATAGCTGAGTAGTACTCTATTGTATAAAAATACCACATCTTTTTTATTCATTCCTCAGTCGATGTGCAGTTGGGTTGTTTCTAAGATTTAGCTTTTACAAATTGTGCTACTGTAAACATAGGTGCACATATATCACTGTGGTATTTTTAATTCTTTTGGGAAAATAACCCAGAAGAGGACTAGCTGGATTGAATGGAACCTCTAGTCCTAGTTTTTTGAGGAATCTTCACACTAATTTCCACAGTGGTTTCACCAGTCTGTACGCCAACCAATAATGGAAAGGTTCCTTTTTCCCTACAGCCCTACCAGCTTTTGTTATGCGCTGATTTCTTGACATTGGCCATTTCTGGAATGAGATGGAATTTCATTGTGGTTCTAATTTGCATTTCTCGAATGACCAATGATGTTGAACATGTTTTCATATATTTATTTGCCATTTGTATTTCTTCATCTGAGAAGTGTATATTCATCTCAGATGCCCTTTTTTTTGGATTGAGTCTTTGAATTTTGGGGGCCTGATTTTATGTTTTAGATAGTCTTTTGTCTGAGGGACAGTTGGCTAAGTTTTTTTCCCAGGATTTGTTAAATGTTCCCTGCCTTGCCTTTGTTGCCCAGAATTGCCTTTGCTATTTTAAGTCTCTTCTGGTTCCAGATGAATTTTAGGAATGAGTTCTCTAAATCTATGAGGTATGCTAATGGTATTTTGATTGGAATTGCATTAAGTCTGTATAACAATTTTGGGAGAATGGCCGTTTTCACAATTTGTTCTTCCTATCCATGAACAAGGAATGCCTTTCCATTTTCTGAAATCCTGTTGATTTATTTATTCAGAGTACTGTAATTTTCAATGAATAGATCTTTACTTTGTTAGATTGATTCCTAAATATTCCATTTTTTTGATGCTATTGTGAAGGGTACGGTTTCCCTTCTTTCCCATATTTCTCTTTGTTGTTAGTGTAGAGGAATGCTATTGATTTTTGAGTGCTGACTTTGTATCCAACTACATTACTGAATTAGTTATTAGATCTAGAATTCTTTCTGTGGAGTTTTTGGGGCCATCTATGTAGCATATCATGTCATCTGCAAATAATGATAATTGAACTTCTTCCTTTCCTATCCTTATTCCTTTTATTTCTGTCTCTTGTCTATTGCTCTGGCTAATGTGTCCAGAACTACATTGAATAGGAGTGATAATAATGGACATCCTTGTCTTATTCTTGATTTTAGATTGAAAGTTTCAGTTTTTGTCCATTTAGTAAGATGTTGGCTGTGAGTTTATCCTAAATGGCTTTATCAGGTTGAGGTAATGTAATAACTTACTTAAAGTTACAGTAAAGATCCAGTTTACAAATGAGTTCTTTTCTGGGAGAACATCCTTTATCAAGTACCTTTTTAAGTCTGACAAAATGAATCTTCTGTGGTTTGTTCAAATCTAGGTCCATTTATCTGTAAAAGTTCATAACTCAAACGTGTTAAGTCAGGGACTTATGGTATTAAAGTCTGTCCTTAGCTGCCTTCCCTGTAAAAGTTTGTTTTAATATGGAACTCCTATTACTGTTAAGTAATTTAACTCATTTTAGATGAAGATACGAAATTGTTCTTGATTTTAGTTACTTTGACAATTTAGCTCATTTGTGCTTCCTATTAAAATGTGAGCTATGCCTAATTTATCTGTGATTCTTTCCAGGTAGTCTAGACCAGTGGTGGCCAGCCTATAGCACGAGTGCTGCAGTGGGCTGTTTTGTGTCTTTGAAAGCTCTACAGTGTTCACCTTCACTGGTCTAGATAGCACCTGGCACTTAGACTTCATGCAACGTGTAATGAGTAAGCCTTATCATTTCAGTGAGTTGATCCTTTTTCCTTTTGTTGTGTTCTTTAGGTTTCATATTTTGAAATATATTTGGATAAGATAAGGGACCTGTTAGATGGTAAGTTAAATCTTGTGCTTTAAAGTTTTTGTTTTGTTTTTTTGAGTCAGAAATTCTAGGTCTGTAGCCCAGACTGCTCTCAAACTCACCTCAGCCTCCCAAGTGATGGGATTACAGACCTGTGCCACCATGTCTTTGATCTTTTAAAAATAATGTTTCTTTTTTTAGTAGTAGAAGTGAGACCCTTTTTTTTTTTTTAGTAATATATATGCAGTTGACTTAGATGATAAGAAATAGGCATTTAAATCTTTTTCTTTTGAAGCTTTAGTTGAACACCTTTATTTTATTGGTATTAGCAATACAGAATAATGATTTCATTTTAGTGTATTGTATGCAGATAACACATTTTGATTTTCACCATTCATTGCCTTTCCTTTCTCTTTTCTCCACCCCCTTTTTTATCTCTAATTCTACTTTCCTGTTGGCTCTCCCCTTAGATTTTTCATATAAGAAAAAACATGCCATATTTTAAGTATGGCTTATTTTGCTTAACGTGGTGGTCTCCAATTCCATCCATTTTCCTGGAAATGATAGTTTTATTCCTTATGGTCATATAATATTCCATTATGCATATATACCCATACTGCATCTATATCCATCCATTATGTTGATGGACTTCCGCTATTTCCACAGCTTAGCTATTACTGTGCCACAATTGCTGTGAACATGCAAGGATTACTCTACAATGCTGTCTTTAATAATTTTGAGAATATGCTGAAGAGTACTTTAGCTGGATCAAATGGTGTCTGCGTTTGTAGTGCACTGTGAAGACTAAAATCCATGATTGGCCCAGATGATTTGTGTAGTCTCGTTTACATTCCCACCAGTTTTTTATCCCTGCATCCTCAGTAACATTTATTGTTTGCTGTATTTTTGATAGCCATCCTTACTGGGGTGAGAATGTACTTTTGATTTATATTTATTTCTCTAATGGCTAAAAACGTAGAATTTTTTTTTATATATTCGTTAGCCATTGTGTTTTTGCTGAGATCTGTCTACTTGGTTTGCCCATGTGTTGACTTTTTTTTTGGTGTTAATATTTTTGAATTCTTTGTATGTTCTAACTATTATTCCTTTATTGGAAGAGTAACTGCCAAAGATTTTCTCTGTTGACTTTTTTCCTTTGTTGTTACTTCCTTTGCTATTAGAGTGCTACTCAGGAAGCTTGCGCCTGTGCCTAAGGCTTCAACTGTTTTCCCGTAGTGGTTAGATACATAGAATAACTTGTTTAAAAGATATATTTATAGCTACTTCTTAAGCAATAATTAGAGCGCTAAAACTTAGGATTTAGAGAACCTTATTCCATGTTCTACTCAGATATACTGTTTTAGGGTAAACCAGTGAGCCATAGGATAATATATGTTGATGTTTTTATTTATAAAATATGGCTGGTTGTAGTGGTACAAACTTGTAATCCCAGCATTCAGGAGGCTGAGCCAGGAGGATCACTGCAAGTTCAAGGCCAGCTTGGGTAATATAGTGAGTTTAAAGCCAGCCTGAACTGCCTAGTGAAACGCTGTCTCTAAAAGAAAGAAAAGAAAGGCGGTAGAAATTTGAGTGGCTCTAAAATTCTATATTGCTACATTGGCTTTTATTTAAATCTGTGTTTATAAGGTCTTGCTTTAATAGCAGTATTCTCATATCTTTTAAAAGTTGAGTGTTGTTTAGCTGCTAGGATGAACCTATCAATTATATTATTTTACAGCTAGTGTTACAAGTTTAGAGTTTGCTAGTAGTATGTGTTTTTCTTTTTCAGTTTCAAAGACCAACCTTTCAGTTCACGAAGATAAAAACCGAGTTCCCTATGTAAAGGTACGTACAAAATAATGGAATGATTATTTGGAAAGCCTTCTTAGTTTTAGAAGGATACTTTCAAACTTTTAAAATAATTATTTCATAGGGGTGCACGGAACGTTTTGTATGTAGTCCAGATGAAGTAATGGACACCATAGATGAAGGAAAATCCAACAGACATGTAGCAGTTACAAGTAAGTAGTGTGTTTATTGACATTAGTTAGGGTATGGATCAGTCTTGTATTCTGGAAAAGATGAGAATAACTTGTTTTCTGTATCTGAGTAATTGCAAGACTTAACATAAAATGATGCTGTAGTGAAATTGTGAGGAGAAACTATGCTAATAGTTATTTGTGTAATATCATTGCAGATATGAATGAACATAGCTCGAGGAGTCACAGTATATTTCTCATTAATGTAAAACAAGAAAACACACAAACAGAACAGAAGTTGAGTGGAAAACTTTATCTGGTTGATTTAGCTGGTAGTGAAAAGGTAAGTATTCATTCGGGTAAATACTTAGGCATGCTTTTAAACTTCACCTTGAAGTGCAACTTGACAGAGTATATTTTGTTGTATCTTAAAAATTTGGAAAATTTGATTTGGTAATTTGAGAATTTTACTCTGATACCAGTGCTTTATGCTTATGTGTTCTGTATTACTGTCATTGACCATACTGTTCAGTAGGTACTGCCTTTGTCTTACTAAGAACTTGTTCAGAGAATGTCGTAAGTTACCTTAAATCTTCTTACCTGATTTTTGGTACCTGTTTTATACATACTGTACTGATGATTAAAAGTAGTAAGTGCCTTAGTTCTTCCTGTCTTGGTTGTACAGTTGCTCTTCAGTACCCATGGAGCATTATCCTCAGCACCATTCCTTCCCCTCACTGCAAATACTGCAATCCCTGGGTGCTGAAGTCCTTTGTGTAAACCGCGCAGTGTTTGCATGTAACCTATGCATATTTTCCTGTATGTGTTCAGTCATCTCTCAGTTACATATTTACCCCTAGCACAACATGAATACTATGTAACTAGATGTTTTATTTTCTTGTTTAGGGAATAATGGCAACAAAAAAAGTGTACATGTTTAGTACAGAGGCAGTCTTTTGGGGGGATATTTTCCATTCTTTGTTAGCTGAATCTGTGGATATTGTCAGTTGTACTTATTTTTGTTTATCTTATTGACAGGCCTGTATGGTATACTTCTAGTTTACATTAAAATTGAAAAAGTTTAAATGACTTAATACGAATTTCTGTGACCATTGTGGCTATTCTTCTAATGTACTGTCTTGTAATTAGAATGATGTGTCTTATTCTTTTCTATTCAAGTGTTTTGTTTTTTGAGACAAGGTCTCACTATATAGGCTGGCTTTGAACTCACTGTATAGCCCAGGCCCACCTCGAACTTGTAGCGATCCACGTACCTGAGCCTTCTGAGTGCTAGGACTATAGGCATGTGCCACCACACCCAGCTCTTCTACTTAAGTCTCATTCATATCTTTTGTAATGAAAGCATTCTGAGAAACCATTTTTTACCCAATATTGCTTATTATTCTAATTTATGTATAAGATAGGTAGACATTTTATGTTTTTTGAAAAGCAGATTTGCTCATGTAGTATTAGTCTTTTTTAATATCAACATTACACTTAGAGAATTTAACTCTTTCAGTGTAACAAAAGATTAACCGATTAATCAGTTGGTGGAGGTTGGGTGTTTTCAGGAGCAGAAACTAAATGGAAGACTTGATATTTCTTTAATTGTACTCTTAATTCAATAGCTGTGTGACCAAGTTCTTAGAGTCATTACTCAGGGAATTTATTGGTACCTTAGAGTAAAGGCTCGACCATAATGTTATGAAGCTTTTCATGTTCTCCTCTCCCTGCTGGTTATTGATGACCTCTATAAATTTCTTAGGAAATTCAACGAAGATCACTTGAAACTTTTAATTTTCTTTCTTTATTTCGGAATCTTATATATAGGTTAGTAAAACTGGAGCTGAAGGTGCCGTGCTGGATGAAGCTAAGAACATCAACAAGTCACTTTCTGCTCTTGGAAATGTCATTTCTGCTTTGGCTGAGGGTAGTGTGAGTATTGTGTCTTCGTGTTTCCATTATTTTTAGGGATTAATTGAAATATAGATGCGTAATATAGTGTGAGTGAAAAAAGTGTTAGTCGTTAGTATGTATATTTGATAGACATCTTAAACAGTTCAAATAAGTGAAATAACGGATTATTTATATTAGTTTATTTTGTGTACAGAAACCCATTGATGAATGTTTTCTGTCTTTGTATGTAGACATACGTTCCATATCGAGATAGCAAAATGACAAGAATTCTTCAAGACTCACTAGGTGGGAACTGTAGAACCACTATTGTAATTTGCTGTTCTCCATCATCATATAATGAGTCTGAAACAAAATCTACACTCCTGTTTGGTCAAAGGTTTGTTTTTCAGAATTACAAAATTTAGTAAATTTGGTTTTGTTTGTTAAATTTATTAGCAACAGGTAGCTACTGTTCAAATCAGTTCATATTATTAGTGTACTGGACACTTAAGAAACACAAATAATACAAGTTAGGTCTGTTTTTTAGGCCACTTCGGTTTGAGGTAAGTTTCATCACACACATAAAAGTCAAATATTAACTTTGATTAAATTCATGAAAGAAACTTATAGTTCAGTAATGAGAATAAAAATATAAAGCTTTGTTAGGTCAGTTAACAGAGTTGGCAGATTGAATAATCTGTATGAGATGTTTAAGACAATCAGTGATGATACCCTTGGCATTGACGTTGCTTAGTTCAGCCTTTCATATGAATTGAAAAAAATATATCCTTGTTTCCCTCTACCAGTGAATTTTTAAACTATGTATAGATTGGGAAGAGGGCTCATTAGCTTACAAATGAAAAGTTGGCTTACAAATCCAGTGTAGCTGGGTTGTGAATGAACATTGCGCCTCATAGCTTTAGTACTCAGTCTGAGAACTAGAGGCTAACTAGACCCCTGTTCCCCCTCCAATTGTCTTTTAGGGCCAAAACGATTAAGAATACAGTTTGTGTCAATGTAGAGTTAACTGCAGAACAGTGGAAAAAGAAGTATGAAAAAGAGAAAGAAAAGAATAAGACCCTGCGGAACACCATTCAGTGGCTTGAAAACGAACTCAATCGGTGGCGGAATGGTAATAATAACTTCAAAATTTGACATCTTACATTTGTTGACTAGAGATTTAGAATTATTTACAAACTTGAGGTTTTGGTACAAACATAAGTAAAAATAATAAAACATGACAATTTCAGTTTTTGTTTTTAAAGAATTTAGGGGTTTTCAAATACAGTCTTTTACATTGATTTTTTATTTTATCTGAAATAAGTAAAACAATAGGACAGGGTGCCAAGATAAAGGTGGAAACAACAAAATGCTAAGATTTGGTGACTGGATTTCAAAGACTGAGGGAGGATCAAAGGTAATTCCAAGGACTCAGATCCCTGGACAAAGCAGATGAGACAGTTGATAGGAGCTGCTGAAGTGAAGTAAAAAGAGGACAAAGCAAGATGATTGAGTGGGACTCTTGGCAGTCCTCACCTGCAAAACTTCAGATAGTTCTGTTCACCCACAGAAACACCTTCTTGAGAGCTAAGAAGCCAGTGCCCATTTGTGGCCCAGTAACATGAAAAGACTTAGTGCAGAGAGTGGGAAGGACAGTTTATTACCTGTGTCACCTGTCCCCTTCCCCAGCAAGCCGTGTAGAGGGAAAGATCAGTGAGCTAACACTTGCCGTAGACCCTGACTCTAGCCTGCCACAGGAAAACCCAGCACTGGGAAGCGGTTTAGGCCTGTAGAGTGCACTGTATCTCCAGCATCAGCAGCTTCAGGCTCCAGAGAGCCCTCACCAACATACAGGCCTCCCAGACCCCGAGCATTTGACTTGCCTGTCCTATCTCAGTGGCCATGTACCTCATGGCCATTCCCGGTGGTCTGACTAGAATTTGCATGTGGGCTGACTTGTAGAAGGACTTCCAGGTAGCTACTTCACATTTGCAGGCATCACAGCATAGGTATAGGGATCAGGTACATTCAGGGAAAAAAGCAGTTCCTGGAGCTCAGTCTCCAGTACTGTCGGAAAATGAAATAGGGCACGTGAATAACAGAACTAAGCAAAGCAGGAGAAGGCATCTGATCGTGGCATTATTTCAAAACAGTACAGAGGAGACAAGATGAAATGGAATGAATCAAATCTGTTGTTGCCATGTCGATTTTTAGTAACTGTGTGTCTGTTGTAGGGGAGACAGTGCCTGTTGATGAGCAGTTTGACAAAGAGAAAGCCAATTTGGAAGCTTTCACAGTAGATAAGGATATTACTATTACCAATGACAAGCCAGCAGCCACAATTGGAGTTACTGGAAGCTTCACAGATGCAGAAAGAAGAAAGTGTGAAGAAGAAATTGCTAAATTGTATAAACAACTTGATGATAAGGTGTGTTATTTCTTATTAGGTCTGTTTTGTTTTAGAATATTATTGATATGAATATTTTTTCTTTTCCAAATTTTAGTAGTAGAGTGTAGCTACATTTATGTCCTTTCATTTCTTTTAACAGAAAATTCGTATTAACAGAATATAAAATCACAATTTTAGCTCCATGTAGAAACTATATGAAAGCATATTTTTCTCCACCCTCTGTGATGGTGGAGGTGTTGTGGGTCAGTGTACTGGGGATTTTGACCCCAGGGCCTTTGAACTGAGGTAATTCCCAATCCTTTTATTGAGAACCCTTTTAAGTTGCCTGGGTTGAACTTGAACTTGAAATCCTCCTGCCTTAGCTTCCCAGAGTACTGAGCTAACAGGTGTGTGCCAGTGTGCTTGGCTTTTCAGGCTTTTTTTTTTAAGCTAAAAAAAAAAATTTCTAAGGATAGTTTGGCCTTGGGTTATTGGAAAGTGTTAATAAAGTAACCACTAGCCAGGCATGGTGGCTCACGCCTGTAATCCCAGCACTCGGGAGGCTGAGGCAGGAGGATCGTTGCAAGTTCAAGACCAGCCTGGGCTACAAAGTGAACTCAAGGCCAGCCTGAACTGCATAGAGACCCTGTCTCAAAAAGACAAAAAAAAAAAAAAAAAAGTGACCACTTAGAATCAGGAATCTAAGGATTCTCAAAAGATCATAGAAGAGCTGAATGGAAACAATCATTTTCTGCTTTTCTGAAATTAGGGATGTGAAGTTGAAAAATCAGTTTGAATAGGAGTAAGAGCAGGATAGAGCACAGGAAAATGTTGTAAGTTTTTTTATAGTGTATTTTAAGCAGAGATAGAGCTTCAAAGTGGCTACTCAACTATTTTCTATAATAGCTTTAAACATTCTTTCAGCATTTAAAGTATGAGGTATGATTTAAAGAATACGTTGAAAAATAAAAAATACATTGCATGTTTAAATCTTTTAAAAATTTTTACTATAGTAAGAGACACCTGAAGTGACTCCCCCTTGCTTTAAGCACACTTATCCCATTGTTCTTGGCAGCGTCTTTTACTGTAATAAAGTTCTAAAATTTAAACATTGAGAGTATTTTTGATCACTTCTTGTACCTATTAGAGCTGCCTTCAGTGGCAAACACCAGTAGCCCATCTGCTTAGGTTGATGTAGGAGGATCATACACAGCAGGTCCTTATCTAAGATATAATAGGATTTAATGAGTGGCTTTCATAAATACAGAGTTTTTCCTTACTGTATGATAAATATATTCCTGTTATTGATCATTGAAAGAAATCATTAGTTTCAAACTCTTGCTTCAGATTGAAATAAGCCATTTGAGTTGGAGAGACAAGTTTAGGGAAATAGTAGTGTAAAACTTTGTATTGGGAAACAGAACCAGGTTGTGAGCTACTTTGTTAACTGGATGTTCGTTTGATTGTTTGTTTGTTAAACTGGATGCTTTTAACGTTCCAGGATGAAGAAATTAACCAGCAGAGCCAACTGGTGGAGAAACTGAAGACACAAATGTTGGATCAAGAGGAGGTAAGATGAAGACTTTTCATGATGTATTCAGAAAAGTTTCGTGGTTTGTCATTTAAATACAAAGACAAAAGAATTTACACAGATCAATATATTGAAGAGTATGGTTTTAAATTGTTGAGTGTCCATGCTTCGTTTTATATATTCTGTAGGACCAGTACCATTTGATCAGTCATTAAAACAAAGATTGACTTTCATGTAGGGTCTTATTCTTCTTTTTAAATTCATCTTTCCTCTAACCCTGCAAGAGAGATCTGGTAAAAGGCATTCTTTCCTGTAACACACATCTCCTGGGTTCCTAAGCCGTCTTCTACTTTATTTATCTAAAATACAGTATTGTTTATCATCTTACATTCTCCCTCAATGAAAAGTATTTGTACACAAATGTGAGAGAATATGTCTGTGTAACAGTGTTTTAAGACAAATACTGGGTTTCTGAATCCTATTGACTTTGTCTTTTAATAGTTGTATAATTTTGGGTAGCTCTCCGTGGAATGAGAACATCATGTAAATAAAATCCATTTTTATTCCTTTATCATACCTACCCCTGTGCAGTCTGTCCATTTTTGCCATCTTTCGTCTTAGTTCTTCCACATTATTTTGTCTTCCTGCACCTAGTTTGGGCCCTCGTTTTGTCTCACCCAGGCAGAAAGTAAATAAGTTAAAAGATGGTTCTTGTACGAGTTTCTCCGGGGATGAGAGATTGAACAACTTGGGTAGGAAAATTCACCCACCGTCAGTGAAATTAATCCGAGTGTTCATCCTCTACAGTATTGTTCTTGCTCTGTGCATTGTAGAACATCCAGCACCCCGATGATCCCCATTATTAACACTCCCACAGGGGTGGGGATGTAGCATAGTAGGAAGGAACTTAAACCTAGTATGCCCAAAGCCCTAGAAGTCCTACAGCCCCCAGAAACCCCACACATGCACATTTGCACGTGGCCCTCCTGAGGAGCCAGTGAGCTGCTGGTGGCAGTAGCCATCTGCTTAGTCTCCTGTCTGTCCCTCACGTAGATGTGTGCCAGTGAGCTGCTGGTGGCAGTAGCCATCTGCTTAGTCTCCTGTCTGTCCCTCACGTAGATGTGTGCTGGGTACTGCGTTTTCTAAAGCGTAACATGGATGCCCCTCTTGTCCAGAGAAAACCTAAACTTCTAACCAAGTCCTCTAATGTCGTTTATTTCTGTAGACACTACTGATGAGTCTGGATTTCCTTTTTCTTCTGTTAATTGCCACACAACTATAATTTGCCTATCAGAGCCAGATTTTCTGAGTCCCCTCCAGAAATAGCCCCTTTCTTATATTACGAAACACTTTATCTGTCCTGTTTCTCATTTTTGGCTTTTATTTCATCTTGTACTGCACATTTATGTACCTGCCTTCATTTTTCCTAGATTCCTCAAAGGCAAAGTCTTGATTTTATTTATTTCTTGTCTGCCATGGTGGTTGACGTCAAGCCTCCAACATAGTAAACATTCAGTAAATCTGTTGAGTTAATAAATGTTGGCACACCTAGTAGCGTCCACACTTCACTTTCCTGTTATCAAGTGATGAAGGAAATAAATTTTTCTTTTTAAAACTATATAGTTTTGGTGAAAATAGGTATTTTACTCTTTCTTAATAGCTTTTGGCATCTACTAGAAGGGATCAAGACAACATGCAAGCTGAACTGAACCGCCTTCAAGCAGAAAACGATGCTTCTAAAGAAGAAGTAAAAGAAGTGTTACAGGCCTTAGAGGAACTTGCTGTCAATTATGATCAGAAGTCTCAGGAAGTTGAAGATAAAACTAAGGAATATGAATTACTTAGTGATGAATTAAATCAGAAATCGGTAGGATATAGTTTTTACTTTTTTTTCTTAACATCTCATTACGAGTAATCTTAATTGAAAAATTATTTAAGTAACTTATTTTTATACAAGCCTGCAATTAATAGCATCTATTCTCAAGGGACTTGTCCCAACCTTAGTTCCTCCTATCTATGAGGTCTATAGAAATAGAGATACTTTTTGGTACCTGACAGGTCTATTAATAAGTTATTTAAGTGATATTTTAAAAGATGTTGGCTCTTTCTGTTACTACTCTTAATGTTAAAAGGAAAACAAAAACTCCCCAGTTCATTATAACTATTAGATAACTCAAACTGCAAATTAAGAAACATATGCATGAAAATGAAGAAAATGCTATTTAAATGAATTTTTGGAGTAGTCATAAGGACATTCAGTATAGTTTGATACAATTTAAGTTTTGTTCACTGTTGCCTTCCCACACCTGGACTAGTTGCCTTCACCTCAGAGTATAGTAGAATCTTCCTTGGTTCTCTAGTAGCTGGAAAGTTTCGTGGGCTGTTGTAATAGGGTAGTGATTTCCAACTTCTGAAATCATACTAGCAATAGTATGTTTTGTAGTCAGTGCTAGCTTCTTTTTTCAGAATTCACCAGGTTATACTCAGGATCAGTGCCCATTCCTTAATTTGCTATGTACGTCCATTTATTTAAAGGAAAGCGCTCAATACTACAGAGTAACACTCCTAAAAATTTTTCTGTCCCAGTGAGTTCATTTCCCTTTTTTAATCTCCAGAGTTAGCAATTAATTGGCTTGAAGTTACAATTTAATACCACAGAGCTCTATCTGATTTGTAATATTAGCAAACCTAATTTCTGTTTGATAGCATAACAAGAGTTTCTTAGAACTTAGAACCCTTGTCCGCAGGTTTCGTTCTTTTAAGATACTTGTAATTAGGAGCTGAAATAGTACTCTTTTTCCTATAGGAGTTAGCAACCTCTAGTGTTTAAAATCTTTTTGTACCCTTACACAGTATTATTGTTAGTGAATAGTTAGAGAAAATGTCTAGTAATTTGAACATTTATGATAGTAGCATTTACCCTGTTTTAAAGAGACCTTCAAAGGGACTGGTATCATATGTAGGTTAAATAGGGCAAATATACACTCTCCTAATAATTAAGCCAAATAAGACATAAGCACTTGAAAGTGATAGCATTATCACTAAAACATATTGGTTGAAAAATCAGTGTGTTGCATTAAAAATGGAGTATCTGGTCTGTAATTAAACAGCTTTTGTGTATTATTTTTTATTTTTGGTACTGGGAATTGAACTCAGAACCTCGAGCTTGCCAAGCAGGTGCTTATATCACTGAGCTAAATCCTAGGCCCCACAAAATAGTTTTTAAATGGGTCAAATTGAGTTGGATTTTTTTAAAGTTTGCTATTTGCATCTGATAAACTACCTACTTAAAATTTATAATTATAGTAATTAAATTCAGATAGTAATATTAGTTCATCTTTAACTCTTAGATAATTGCTTGTGTCTTTAGTACCAGTAATAATTATCAAGTGGTTCATTTTAGTGAGAAGTGTATAGAAAGTAGAAGAAGGGATGTTAACCATGTAGAAGTTAGTTTTCTTATTTAGTTTCCAAAGATTAAACTACATACGGTAATAAATGATAGTCATATCTAATTAACTTCAACGTCTCCAATTTTTAGGCAGAAAACCATCCAATCTTTAGAGAATTAGTACAAACTAATTGCTTCTAATGAAATATAATAGGTTTATTTTACATAGTATTTTGAAACTAGCTCAAAATTTCATAGATCATTAAAAAAAATAAAAACCAAAGCTACAGGGGTTGGGGATTTAGCTCAGCAGCATTTGTTGTGCCTGCCTGGGAAGCCTGAGGTTGTGAGTCTATCCCAGGTACCAAAAACCACCCCCGCCCCAAAAAAAAAGACAGCATCTTTTTGTCTGGGCGTAGTAGCACACACCTGTAGTCCCAGCACTTGGGAGACTGACATAGGACGACTGCTGTGAGTTTGAGGCCAGCCTAGGTTTAGGGAGTTGAGGATGAGCCTGAACTACATAACGAGACCCTATCTCAAAAACACACACGTGCAAAAAAAAAGAAAGACTTTTGGGGTAAGGACTAAGTAAAAAACTTGAAATACCTTTGAATATGTGATTTTTCCTTATAAGTTTAACTGTATTTTTTATTTTTGATTCTGCTAGGCAACTTTAGCAAGTATAGATGCTGAGCTTCAGAAACTTAAGGAAATGACCAACCACCAGAAGAAAAGAGCAGCTGAGATGATGGCATCTTTACTGAAAGACCTTGCAGAAATAGGGATTGCAGTAGGAAACAATGATGTAAAGGTAAGTATAGCTTGCTAAGACAACTTGTGCTTGTGCTTAAGTTTAGCACTTAGTTTCAACAGTTATTTCCATACCCCTGTCCTCACAGAAGACACGTGCTAGTGGTATTAAATCCATCTTACGTAGATAAGGCAGGAGGGAGGGAAGAAGGGACACTGGAACAGAATGTTCAGTGAGTACCATTTACTGGACCTCACTTGTGGTTTTCTTTAACTGTGTAAAGATTTCACACTTAGAAATTACATTAATAAAAATTTTAAAAAGTATATTTTAAATAAAAGAAATTAAAACAGTAAAAAAAAAATTATATTAATAAATTGCCTTACATGAAAGTATCTGCTTATAACACAGTGAAGATTGGCTCAGGGAAGAAACTAATACATTGCTTGGCTTCTTGTTGCTTTAAATTTCTAAATGTAAAAGATGAATACAGGTGTAGTGGTATATGTCTAATCCCAGTGAGACAGGAGAGTCACAGTAAGTCCAAGGCCACCCTGAACTGCCCAGCAAGATCCTGTCTGGGAAAAAAAAATGGTAATTAAAGTCTCTAGAGAATTTTAGTACAAACCACTATAGCTTAGAGAATAATATACTGGCCTCTGTATTAGCAGTTACTACAATTTTATCATATTTTTAAAAAAATTTTATTTTATCTATGCCTTTTTCCTGCTCAAATCTTTTGAAGGATACAAATGTTGGTTTTGGTTTTTTTGTATTACTAGGGTTCAAACCCAGGTCCTTTGCACTGAGTACATCTCCAGTCCTTTTTTATTTTGGGACAAGGTGTTGCTAAGTTGCTCAGGCTGGACTTGAACCTGGGATCCTCTTCCCTCAGCTTCCCAAAACGCTGAGATTTTAGGTATTCACCACCATGTCTGGCTAAGTGTGTGTTTTTGCTTTGGTTAGTTTGTTACATTATAGTTGAGTTTTACAATTACGTGGCTTTTCAGGTATACAGTACTATAGTACTACTGTTGCAGTATAGTATAGGATAATTTCACCACCCTAACAAATCCCCTATGCAGCACTTATTCATCCTTACCCTCTGAACTCCTGGCAACCTCTGTTTTTACAATCCCTGCAGTTTTGCAGTTTCCAAAGTGTTATACCGGTATACTTACACAATATAACCTTACAAACTGGCTTTCTTTTAGTAGTGTACTTTTATGACTGTTGTGTATCTTTTCATGGTTTGATAGAGTGTTTCTTTCATATTCTCTTACATAAATGTGCCATAGTTTTTTTGTTCACTTGCAATGGCAAACAGAAACATCAAAATGACACCCAGGATTTGGAGACAGATTTATTTATGTTGACGGGCACTGCAATGGATCATTCCCAAAATATCAGGCCCTGAGGGCTCAGGAAGGGAGGTTTTTATGGAATTGCAAGGGAGAAGTACAGAAGTAGAGTATTTGACTCTCTTTGATTAGTTCTTATAACTAAGAAACTAAATTACACTGGCAGGGTAGGGAGGGGGCATTTTCTATCCCCCCTGCCTTTTTAGTTTCCCCTGCAAGTCTTTGCTGGGCATGTCATCTTTTGAGACAAAGTCCAACTAGAAGCAGTAACTTTGGGCTGTTAGTGGTCCTAGCATGAGCTCTAGCCAAAGTCTCTAAGATTGTTTTATTACAGAGTTATTCCCTAAGTTGTTTTTAGGAAGAGACACAGTTTAGGCCTGTCTGTTCTCTAATGTTACTCTGGCAAAACTGAAGGGTAATCTGATTTAGGAGAGTGTCCGGTATGGCTTGGACACTTATCAAGTCTTGATAAAGTGCTTGGTTGATTGTTCTGTTCTCTTGAGGCAACTGTCTATAGAATTTATAGCAAAAACCATAGCTAGCAAGGGCAGGGGAACAAAGACTGGTATAAGCAGCCTGAAAAGGCACAAAAATTAAGGGGAATAGGTACGGAGCAATCCTGTAAACAGCGTCTTCAGGCTTCAGCCATATGTGGACTGGTCAGCATTCAGAATGGCCAGAGCAGGGCTTTGAGTGCATTGCTTCTTCACAGTGAGCCAGGTCCAGGTAAATTCTCTAGAACTCTGGAATGGTGGATCTAAAGCTGGATTTCTGAAACATGTAGAGGTAATTAGTATGCACCTGGGTTATGTGTGTGAGTTGGAGTGCCAACAGGTATAGCTAATCTCTTAGCTAAACTTTTGTGGAGCTCCTTACAAGCCATTTCTATAGGGTTGTTTCATTTTCTTGACTTCTTAGAGTTTGTGGCCTCTATGCTATATGCAGTTTTTGTTTAGTTATCTCTACTACAAATGCAGACCCCCAGTAATCAAGGATAGTTCATGTCTAAGGGTGATTTTTTTGTAGCAGGACCGTATAAATTTTTATTGCTCTCTCTGCTCTGCTAGGGTATACCTCAGGCCAGCCTGAGTAGATATAAACAAGCACTGAGTCTATCTGTATATCTTTAAGTGAGGGGACGTCAGGGCCAGTGGCACAGATGCTGAAGCCTGAGCTAGCTGCAGGGGTGTGGGTGCCGGCACTGTGGCTTGACCTTGTAGAACAAACAGTAATAGAAGGTCTGGTTCTGATCTTCTAAAAGTACTGGGTAAAGTTTTTCTGGCTGAAGTTGATATTTCAGTAAATCAGATCTCCAAAGGTTCTCAGGAGCACAGATTTGGCATCATTGGTGGCAGCTTTCCAAGCAGTAGCAGAGCTTTGAAAGCCAAAATAACTTACTCCAAGATGACCACAGCTTATCTAGCCTTTTAGACTCCATCCCTAACAAAACTACTTCCTGTCTGTAAACAGGGTATACTCAGCATCTGTCAGAGGGTTTATTTTCCAGTCATGGGTCTGGTGGGCACAACTTGGTGGGCAGGTACATGGCTGGATTAAGTGGTCCACAGTTACTCACAGGAGGTCTAGTACAGCATGTGGCACCTAGACAGTTAGGCCTTGACCTAAAATGAGTTCGTCTATTTTCTTGATCAGAAGGGGACAGTAGCTGCCAGAGTGTGGAGGGGATTCACAGAGCAACCCTTAGCAACTGGATCCAAGTGTTTGCAAAGGTAGAACTGGGTGCTGCCAGGGCCTGAGAGTCTGAGTAACCATCATAGTTTTTGTGAACTCAAGGATCTAGATCCTATTTTCTAAAAACCAGCAGCTCCAAGAAATTTGTGGAATTTCTTTCTTGTAACTAGTTTCTGCCAGATATTACAGCAGAGTCTGTTCCTTTCCAGCAGACAGCTTGGGTGTCATTAACCAGTAATGCAATGATATTTTGTGCTGGGAAACTAGTGAGGTCAGCTGTGCAGGCTTTTCCAAAGAGGATAAACAAGATTTTGAACCTCTGGAAGGTTGAGCCCACGTCAGCTGACTTGAGTACAGCACTGAGGTCTTTCCAGTTAAAGACAAAGAAGAGCTGTCTGACAGGAGCCAACCATAGGCAGAAGAAGGCATTCTTTAGGTCCAGGCAGCTGTACCAGTAGGCTGTGGGTGGCAGAAGACTGAGTCAGTGTATATGGAGGGGAATCATGGTGACAGCATTGGCAGCCTAGAGATTTTGAACTGGCTTTACAGGCGGCAGAGGTATATTTTAGCAGTTTGACAGTCTGTAAACAGTTCTTGATTTGAAGCCTCTGGATGTGTAGCTGAATTCCTGGTTGAGCCTCTTATGGCACGGGGTACTGTTTAATGCAGGGAGGGGTTGCCTTAGAATGGAGTATCACAATCAACATTCTTTTCTTGGGGAACCATTGACAGTAAGCAGGATAGGCTATCTTGGAGCAACCAAATCTGTTGCCAGAGCCTGCCCCCAAATAACAAGAAAGTTCCCAAATCCTTGTGGCAGTTGAGCCAAGTGAGCTGGCCTTTCATCCTGTCTTAGGTCTTAGGAGCAACCCACAAGCAGAGGAAAGCATCTTTCAAATCTAGACATGTAAGCCGGGTGGCATCTATATGTAACAGTCCAAAAAGAGTAAATGGGTTGTGAACCGCAGAGTGCATCAAGGTCTTGGACTGCTTTGTGGCTGGATGCCTGTTTGTGCTTCCTGCCACATGTGTGATAGCAGTGGGGGTTGCAGTGAAGCAGCATGGTTGACAGCCAGGCCCAGAGGCCAGTGTTAGGCTCATACCTCTGGGAGGAGAGTTTTCACAATTTCAGGATTGTAGTTATCTGTCTCAGGCTGATGGAAGAGTTATCTTTCTCTCAGGGAACAGTCAGTTGAAAGGGCATGGTTAAATGAGAGGGAGGCTGACTGACTTGGTGCAAAGGAGATGGTCGCTTCTAACTTGAAGAGCCAGTCTCTTCCCAGAAGCGGTACAGAGACTGGCTTATACAGGAATTCATGTAGTCCTTGTATCAGGCCTCTGGGTAATGGTGTTAACATTTGACATATTGATGGACTTTTTTGCCTGCCCCACCTTGATGTCTTTGAGAAGCACTTGACTGATTTTAGGTTTCTAAGTGGAGCGAATTTGGAAAACACCGTGGCAACTTATTTGTCAGGACTGACAGTTCAGTTTTTCCTCAGTCAAAATGTGGAACTCAGAAGGAAATACTGACAGTCATCTCAGGTAGATGCTAAAAACCATCTAACCAGGATGGGAGGCAGAAAGCGCTGACCGGAGGGCGTCTGTGGCTGCATGCAGCAGTGGTTAGCTGGAATGGAAGTGGAGAGTGTAACTGTAGGTGTTGGCAGTGGCTGATGAGGGTGCCAAGGTAGAATTCTCAGGAAGAATAGTGCTTGTTTTTTCTTTTTTTTTTCCTTTGAGATATGAGGAGTGGTTTGGTTTATTTTTAATTCCATAAAAGCCATTTTTCCTGCAGTCAGGGACTGTGGGTTTTGACTGACTGATTCCATTTCTGATTCCCTATGTGTGTGTGTGTTGTGTGCCCTTGAACAAAGGCACAGCAAGCAAAGGGTGGGTACCCCTCAGAGAGAAACCATGCAGATGCCGGCCTAGCATGTGGAGACTTAATGTGCATCTTGGCTAAGTAGGGTGTGAGGCCTCAGTTACGCCCTATGTCGACTGCCACAGAACCACAGGTGAGGGCCAAAACAGCCACTGAGACTAATTTTTTTCCTAGTGTTGGTACCCAAATGGAGTGGTCTGTGGCTTCTGCTCTCACATAATTCATTCAGCAGGCACTCAGAGGTTAAACATCCCCTTGAGGGTGATCCTGACGGATAAGAGTTGATCAGACTCCCCTTCTACTTGAGCTGAGCTAGACTGACAGACTAACTGGGGTACCCCTAAGAGTCTTACCAGAATCAAGAAGGCAGTCAGGCAGGCAAACTACGTCCTCCTTTCTGGGTCTGATGTCAGCCACTCAGCTGGGAGCCAGGAATCCACATCCCGACCTCCAAGGAGACTAGAGAAATTTCGAGGGCATACCTTTCTGTCAGGACCTGGAGAGGTCCCTGCTCTGTCCACAAGGGGAACAAGAAGTGACCAAAGAGGTCAGCACTGTCAGTCTTCCCAGCAGAGACACCACATGCAGCAGCAAGTGGAAACACTGAAACAGTTCCCAGGATTTGGAGGCAGATTTATTTATGTCGACAGGCACTGATTTGGGACCTTTATAGTGACACGCTGTGCATCAGTGACCAACCGCTTCTAGGAGACAGAAGCAACTGGAACTGTGCATTACCAAGGCAACTAAGAAACTGAAGTGTACTGGAGGGGAGTGGGGGGCATTTTCCAATTACTTCTGATTTATGGCAGTTATAAGTTAAAGGGCTCTAAATACATGTGTGCGGGTTTTCTGTCCAATTGAGTAAAAATACTTAAGAGTGTATATTTGTTAGATTGGATGTTGAGATTACTCATTTGTTAGCTTTGCAAGAAACTAAACTGTTCCAGAGTGCTGGTAGCATTTTACATTCCTGCCAATGATGGATGAAGAGATTTCTGTTGCTTCGCATCTTCACCAACATTTGATGTCAGATTTTTTAATCCTAATTGTTATTCAGTGTAGTGTTATTTCATTATTAGTTTAATTGCAGTTGGATTGATTTCAATAGTATTTTGTAGTATTTCTCCATTCTGTGCCTTGTCTTTTGTTTTTTTTTCAAGGCCAGCAAGATTTTCTTTTATGTGACCTTCCAAAATTAATTTAGTTTCACATTTATATTTAGGTCTGCAGTCCATTTGGCTTCTCTGAAAGGTGTGAAGTCTGCTTCAGGATTAATTCTGCCCGCAGATGTGTTACCTGTGTCACCATTTATTGAAGACTATTCTTTGTCCCTTGGATCTTTTATCAGAGATCAGTTTAATACACATAAGTCTCTTCCTGAGTGCTCTGTTCTGTTGCACTGACCTGTTTGTCTTTCTTTGGTCAGTTCTATTCTGTCACCCCCTTAGCCAGTTTTTTTCCTATGGTTTCAGTTACAGTACACTGCAGTCTGAAAATACTAAATGGAAAGTTCCAGAAGTACTTAATTCATAAATTTACAATGACATTTGCCAATCTAGTCTTAAAATTGTTTTAGTTGGTTGTTATTCTTTAACTGTATCTTATTTATAATTAAACTTTATCATAGCTGTGTGTGTGTGTGTGTGTGTGTGTGTGTGAGATTTAGTACTATCAGTGGTTTCAGAAATCCATGAAATAAATGTCTTTGAATGTATCCAAGGAGAAAGGAGACTACTGTACTTCTGAGCACTATAGCCTTACAATTCACCTTTAGTGTGAGTCGTTGTTTTTTAGCATTGTATTGGCTCTTCCTGGTCCTTCAATACTCCCATGTAACTCTGGAAGCAATTTGTCAGTATCTACAAAATAACTTGCTGTGATTTTTTTATTCATTATATTCTTTTATCAGTGTTTTGGAGTTGTATTGTAGATCTTGTCTGTATTATGTTAGGTTTTGTTTGGTTTTCTATTACTGTGCTTTGCACCCCAGGGCTCTTGCACTGACCTGCATCCTCAGTACTTTATTATTTTTTACTTAACCAGGCTGAGTTCAAACTTGAGAGCCTCCTGCCATAGCCTCCCAGACTACCAGAATTAGAAGCATGCCCCACTGCAGCCAGCTAGATTTATGCTACATCGCCTTTCTTTTTTTCCCCTTTTTCTTTTGAATACAAACAACACTATTTCTTTTCAAGTTCCAGCTATTCATTGTTAATATGTAGCAAACGGTTGGCTTTTTATGTATTAACTTTGTATCTTAAAACCTTGCTATATTTATTAGTTTTAGGAATTTTTCTTGACATTCATGTCATCAATAGAAAACAAAAGAATTTTATTTCTTCCTTCCCAGGCTCCATATTTTTGTGGAATCTTACAGTGAAAAATCATAAAACTTAAAGAATATGCTTTGACCAAGATTCCTCCTTGTTGAACTTTAAAATAAGGTCATCCTTTCCCTGCCACCTAAACATCCTCTTGTTAAGAAAGATAAAGATTTGTAAGCTGTTACCCTTCGTTAAAGCTTACCCCTTATTAAAATAGTAATAAAAGAAAAAAGTAAATTTCATATTTCCTAGGAAATTGAATAATAAATTTGTCTTAAGATTTTAAAATCTTGAGAAAACACATACTGACTTAACGTTTTGATTTCACTGGTTTAATCTCACAGCAGCCTGAGGGCACTGGCATGATAGACGAAGAATTCACTGTTGCAAGGCTGTACATCAGCAAAATGAAGTCAGAAGTCAAAACCATGGTGAAGCGCTGCAAGCAGTTGGAAAGCACACAAACCGAGAGCAGCAAGAAGATGGAAGAAAACGAGAAAGAGTTAGCAGCTTGCCAGCTTCGGATTTCTCAGGTAGGTGCTCAGAGCAGACTTGTCCCACATGAAAATTTAATTTCTTAGCAAAGTTTTCAGGAAAATGAGCTTCTGTAATTATTTTCAGTAATAAAATTAGTCAAATTTACCTAATCTCTCTGCATTATAACTTACATAATTTATTGGGCTGTATTTGCCAATATAAAGTATAGAAAGTTACTAGAAAGATGTGACTATTGAAGACTCTGAAATTATTCCAAGAAAGGCCAGACTGCAAGGGACCAGTTAGTAAGGGGATGTTCACAGGATACGGAATTTTCACTGGAGGTGTAGCGGATAATACTAGATGGAAGTAACTATAAGAGTATTACCATGTGTTTTGGCCTTTAGTGTCCTAGTTTGCAGGCTGCATGAGCTATGCAGATGACCATTTAATTGAACAGGAAGAAGAGTTATACTTACTCTTGAAGACCAGCTATAAGTTTTTCTTTTGCCTCAACTTCATCTCATTTAATTGTTCAACCTTTTTTGTGGGGAGAGTGTCAGGGATCAAACTCACGACCTCAGGCTTGCCAGGCAGATGTTTATGAGCTAAATCCTTGGCCCTCTTCATTTTAAATCCAATCCCTGAACACTTTAGGATGAAGTTCCTTTCAAATTTTTCATGTATTTAGAGACATTAGTAAAACTTAATTCCTTTCAGATATTCTTAATAACAAAATATGTGTGTGAGGGGGCCGAGGGTGTAGCTCAGTGGCGTAAGTGCCTCCCCTGCAAGCACGAGGTCGTGAGTTCAATCCCCAGTACAAAAAACAAATGTGTGTGAATGTATGTGAGATGTTTTTATATTTTTTCCAAAAGCATGAAGCCAAAATCAAATCGTTGACTGAGTATCTTCAAAATGTGGAGCAAAAGAAAAGACAGCTGGAAGAATCTGTCGATTCACTCAGTGAAGAGCTGGTCCAGCTTCGTGCACAAGGTATTAGCTTCCAGTTGTTGATGAGTTGTAACTATATTGATTTCTTTAAAAATTATTTTAGAATAATTATTTTACATTTATAATCAGGCTCATAGAAAGTACTGGGAATGTGATTAATTTGGAAGAGTAAGCAAATCACATAATTTAATATGGCTTTGAAATCCTTTTTTTTTTTTTCCAGGATGTTGTGCTTGCTAGGCAGGCACTGTGCCACTGAGCTGTGTCCCCAGCCCTGAAACGCGTTTTTTAAGATTGTGTTTGAGTATGTCAGTAGCCAGTCTAGGAGCTTCCCGGGGAGTTGTAAAGTTTTCATGTATGCGTAAATGTGTGTGTGCATGCAAGCCCTCATGTGGAGCTGTGCAAACATTTCCCTTTTGTGATGGCAGTATAGTGGGTTTAGTTTCAGGATACTGTCAGCTGTCATTGAGCTGCTAGAGTATCACTAAGGGACAAGCCACTGTTAAGACACATTTGTTCCTTGCTTTAAAACAGAAACCTGAAAGTTTATTTTGTTCTTCTGTTTTCTTTCCTGCCTAAACAGAAAAGGTTCATGAAATGGAGAAAGAGCACTTAAATAAGGTTCAGACTGCAAATGAAGTTAAGGCAAGTTTAATGTTACATTGGATTCTAATGCCTGTAATCTATCATTATTGGTTATTCTGACTTTAATATTCTTTGTTCCACAAAACTGTAGCAAGCTGTTGAACAGCAGATTCAGAGTCACAGAGAAACTCATCAAAAACAAATCAGTAGTTTGAGAGATGAAGTTGAGGCAAAAGAAAAACTTATAACTGATCTTCAAGAGTAAGTATAACTCTTCTTCCTGCTCAATATTAGAAACTCATTCAGAAAGAGTGTGTGTGTGTGTGTGTGTTGTACTGGGGATTGAACCTGGTGTGACTTTATACTGAGCTCAATCTTTTAGGCACTTTTTATATTTAGTTTTGAGACAGCATCTTTCTGAGTTGCCCAAACTAGACTTGAACTCATTATCCTCCTGCCTCAGCCTCCCAGAGTGCTGAGTTTGCCAGGTGTGCACCATCATAAACAGAAGACTGACAGGAAGAAGAATAGGTCACTAATAATATCCAGGTTGCAGTGACAATTTTGAGTTAGAATATAATTTTGACATTTATGAGTAAAACTTCTAAGATCCAGGTTAAATTTTTGAAAAATAGTCCTACATGTTTTGATTCAAACACAGGAAAAAGAAAATCCCCTACCTAAACTAGTCATTCCGAATAGATAGCAAAATTTCCAAGTCACTTGAGAAAAGCTGAATTGCAAAGTATAGGTTTTAAGCTCTCTTTTAAATAGAAGTCATGGTCCTGTGTGTGTGTGTATCTAGAAACCTTTTTGCCTACTTGTAGAGCTGTGTTCATAAACATAGACTTTATAAAAAGCAGAGCTCTGTAATGATGTTAGTAAGAACCTGAACACAGTAATGCCGCCTGGGGTTTGGGTCTCACTACTGATACCCAGTATGGAAATGGAGAATGTGGTACTTTCATACATTTGTGATCATATTTTGATGTGATATTCAGACAACTATGAAGTTAAACCATTCTTACATTTTTTATTTCCTTGTCAGCCAAAATCAGAAAATGATGTTAGAGCAAGAACGTCTAAGAGTAGAACATGAAAAGTTGAAAGCTACAGATCAGGAAAAGAGCAGAAAACTACATGAACTTACGTGAGTAATTGTTCTAATTAAAGTTTAAAAAAAAAAGTATATTAGAGGATTCCTGGTATCCCTCTTAGCATATCAGGCTTCTCAGTTGATTTATGTCTAAAAATTTGAAATAAAACATAGACACATATTTACGCTTTAAGGGAAGCAAGGACTTATATCTCCTCAGGTTTAGATTTTTTCCAAGTGTTTTTGTTTGTTTATTTTTTGAGACAGATGGTCATTTTGTTGTGCAGGCTGGTCTTAAACTCTGTTATGTAGTGAAAACTAGCATTGAATTCGTGGCAGTCCTCCTGCCTCAGCCTCCTGAGTGCTGGGATTACAAGCAAGCACCGCCATGTGCTTGTTGTTTCTTTGGCACCATGTTACCTCAGGGACAGTCATAAAAATGAACCTTAAAATTTTTTTTTTTAAGGGCCAGGGATTTAGCTCAGCAGCTTGCCAAGCGCATGGTTGTGAGTTCGATCCCCGGCACCAAATAAATAAATAAATAAATAAAATGAACCTAAATGTAGCATTAAGTAATTTAGAAAATTTTAGTATCTAGCAGAAAAACTGAAGTTTTTTCTAGTTTTGATTATTTATAAAAGAATTAATGTCTTAGCTTTGTCTTTTCAAACAGAAGTTTTAACTATTTTTCTCATTTGTTGGTTTTCAAGAATCTGATTAGGTAAAAAACTCATGATTGCAATTTTGTACACATCTTGAATTTGTAAGAGAGAGTTTGCGAATCAGCTACTATCAATAAAATGGTTCTGTAGGGACAGGGATTTAGCTCAGTGGCATAAACACCTGCCTGGCAAGCACGAGGTCCTTAGTTTGATCCCCAGTACAAAAAAAAAATAGTCATACAATTTGGACCAGTTCAGAGTTGATTTTGTAAAGATTCTTCTGAATTACAGTGATAATTTTATTTAGAATAATTTTCATGTAAAAGTGTTAGTCTTTGACAGTTCAGTATCTGTAATTCCCAGTTAACAAGTATCGTTTTAGGTAAACAGTAAAATAATATTATATGTGATACATTTTGAAATAAAAATTTAAGTCATTCATTCTTATTTGAGTTTGTACTTTTTTTTTTTTTTTTTTTTTTTTTTTTTTTTGTACCGGGGATTGAACTCACGACCTTACACTTACCAGGCAAGCATTTGAGCCACTGAGCTAAACCCCAGCCCTTCATTGTTATTTGAATTGTCAAATTTTATTTTATTTCTTCCTTGTCATTGTTATATGAACTATGTGTTTAAAAGATTATGTAAGTATCTTTCTCATTTGAATCCAGTAGTTCTTTCATATTAAAAATGGTCAGATTCCGCTCTTATGATAGGAGACTAGGATTTGTGGAGCCCAAGCTGAAAACGTGTGTGTGTGTGTTCCAACTCTAGGGTTATGCAAGACAGACGAGAGCAAGCTCGACAGGATTTGAAGGGGTTGGAAGAGACAGTGGTAAGGAAAACATAATGAAAAGGATTGGGAAGATTTACTTGGGTTTTCCCTCACCTTCCTCATTCTTAGTTTGAAAACTAAATTGCAAAAACAATTCTGTTCTGAATTAAAGGCAAAAGAACTTCAGACTTTGCACAATCTGCGCAAGCTCTTTGTTCAAGATTTGGCTACCAGAGTTAAAAAGGTAATGAAACAGTGCAAGGCGTGCAGTTATTTGTATTCAGAAGTGAGAGCATTTTATTTCATCATGTCAGTGTTTCTCATTCACCTTAGAGTTTTTACTTCTTAATGTTTTTCTTTGCTCAGAGTGCTGAGATTGATTCTGATGACACTGGAGGTAGTGCTGCTCAGAAGCAGAAAATCTCCTTTCTTGAAAATAATCTCGAGCAACTCACCAAAGTGCACAAACAGGTAATGAAGAGTATGTTTTCGTTTGGTATTGGGGATTGAACTCACAACCTTGCGCTTGCCAGACAGATGCTTATGCCACTGAGCTAATCCATGGCTGCAGAGTATGTGTTATGGTGCCTGCAGCATTGTAAGAATGAAAAAATGGAGGAGTAGAAAGAATTTTAATTCTTCAGAGCTCTAAGAGATTTTTATACCCTGACCCATTTTATTAAGTAATTATATAAAGAAACCAGCAAGTTTTAGAATTTTTTAATAACTGTATTATCGATGAGAACATGTATTCTAACTTTCTGTAGAAATTCAGAACTATCAATTGTTTCTTGATTTATTTGATAGGATTTGTTTTTTTCAGACAGGGTCTGCTATGTAGTTCAAGCAGGCCTTGACCTGACTACACAGTGATCCTCTTGCCTCAGCCTCCTTTAGGTTTTCTTGTCCTCACTTAAGAGGCTTGCCAAACTGACACTGCTTGTGTCCTTAATTTGACTAAGGGGATATTCATTTCACCAGATTATCCTTTTTTATTAAAGAAACTATTGCTGTGTTCCAGTTTAGTCTCTTTGCTTAGCAGAGATAAAGAACAACCTAGTCTGTTTAAAATACAGTGTCTTGAGAAACGTGTATGAATGTGTGTGTCCTTGCATGTTGTTGCCTAACCTGGGTAAGTGGGAAAAACATAATAGAAAAAGTGTGAAATGCTCACATTTTGTTAAAGCTGGAGCCCCTGTGTTGTTTGTGTGCCTCCAGTTGGTACGTGACAATGCAGATCTTCGCTGTGAACTTCCGAAGTTAGAGAAGCGACTTCGAGCTACAGCCGAGAGAGTGAAAGCTTTGGAGTCAGCACTAAAAGAAGCCAAAGAAAATGCATCTCGTGATCGGAAACGCTATCAGCAAGAAGTAGACCGCATAAAGGAGGCGGTCCGGTCCAAGAACATGGCTAGGAGGGGGCACTCCGCACAGATCGGTTAGTGAGGGCTGTGGGCTGGGTCTGAACACATGGGTTTAGTTGAAAACATTATCTGAATTTTATGATTTGTCTTGGAATTTGGCTGGCTTTAATTTCTAGCTTATCAAACTGTGGCACTATTAGGAAGGAAGAGAGAATAAAGACCTGGGCTGGGCAGGCTGGCACATGTCATCCTCTCAGCACTAAGGCAGAAAATCCCCAGGAGTTCAAAGCTGTGCTGAGCTACACAGGGAAACCCATTTCTCCCCTCCAGAAAAATAGACCTGGATTCACTGTAGTTGTGTGTTTTACTTTATTTTAATTCAGACTTTGTGTTTTACATTAGCTAAGCCGATTCGTCCTGGGCAACACCCGGCAGCTTCTCCAACTCATCCAAGTGCGATTCGTGGAGGAGGAGCGTTTGTCCAGAACAGCCAGCCGGTAGCCCTGCGAGGCGGTGGAGGCAAGCCGGTGTAACCAACCAGTGTAACTGCAAGTGCGTGTTCACAGGTCTGTTCTTCAGGTGGCTTCCCCAGTGTCCCTGTGTGCAGAAGCGGGGAGCCATGGCTGTCAGGAACTCCGGAAGGTGTTAATCCTTAGATTAGTGTCATGATTTCTTTTAAATAAGCATGCTTTTATAAAAGTGACAGCATAATTTCTTTACATGGCTCAGCGTGTGCTGCATATTCAGTTGTATTTTTTTAAATTATTAGGTGTTAGATCATTTTTAATAGTTTTAGTATTCTGATTAATGAATATATCATGTTTTACAACTTTTACTGGGAGTTTAATAAAATATATTGATTCTTTTCCAAAATTAATTCCATGATGAAATTTAAAGTGTGTTACATCTTTTTTTCTACTTCACCTTTTAGATTATCTTTAGAAAGTAGTACAAATAGTACATTTTAAGGTATTAGAAAGACTACACAAAAATACCTGATAGCTGTTTCATCTTTTTTGCATCCTTGCCAGCACTGAGTATTAATAGTTTTTAAACTTATAGAGGAGCCAGCTGTGCCCAGTGGTACATGGCTGTAACCCCAGCAGTGTGAGAGGCTGCAGCAAGAGGATCACAAGTTCATGCCTACCCTGGGCAACTTAGAAGGACCTTAGTAAAACAGAAGACTGGGGAAGTAGCTCAGTGTGAAGGCTCTGATTCAGTAACTAACACTGCAGAAGCAAAACATAAATGTCAACAGTAAAGTTGGATTTTCATATGTGTACTTATTGGGCCTTTTTTTTTTTTTAATGCAATATCTGTGTCTCTTTCCCATTACCTATTAGAGATGATTTTTCCAACAGATTTCTGGATTTTTAATTAAAAAGTTTAAACTGTTAACTGTCCATCTTTTTTTTAATGTCCTATACAGGTAAATTTTCTAAACTAGGGTGTAATCCAGAGCCGTTTGCATTTGATCCCTTAAATCTCTTAATCTAGATTAACCTCTTTCTTTCATTTTTCACCCCCTGGAATAGGACTTTTTTAATGAGGACATGTTTGTCATACATAGTACCACTGTTCACCATGGGTTTAATACGTGTGCCTGTCTCTTTATCGCTGTGTACTCCGCCCTTTCTCCCCAGAATCCCTTTCCCATCCTCACGGTCTGTCTTTTTGTTTCTTCACTTGGCTCTTTATTTTGCCCTTTACACTAGAGAGACCCTGTCGTATGTGCTTAGCATTATGGTCTCCAGGTCCATCCATGCCCCTATAGATGACTCAGATGTATCTTTCTTTATGGCTGAGTCATAAAAATAAACACTCGTTGATGGGTATATAGTTTGCTCCCATGATTTTGGTATTGTGAGTTGTGCTGCTATAAACATGGATAGCATTATGGTTGCAGTAGGATGGTTTTAGTTCTTCCAAGAAGATAGCTAGGGGAGGTATAACTGGGTTGAATGGAATTTCTGTTGTTAGTGTTTTTGAGGAATTTCCACACTGATTTCCAAAGCAGTTGTACTAGTTAACATTCCCCCCATCAGTGTATAAAGGGTCCTTTCCCCCCACAGTCTCCTCAGCATTTGTTGAGCCTTCTTACTGAAATAAGGTAGAATGTCAGTGTCTTTAATTTGTATTTGTAATGCTGAACATTTTTTGTGTATTTACTTAATTCCATCTTTTAAATGACAATAAAGAAGCCAGGTGTCGTCTTTTTTCCCCTCCGTACTACATATTAGTACTCCTACTACGAATGGGCTTTGTCATGCTAGGCAAGTGCTCTACCGCCAAGCTGTACCTCCAGCTCCAAGGCCAGGTACCTTGAGCACAGATTTGCTTGTGGGTGTGTCTGAATGTTTATGTACTGACTTCCCTTGTTCCTGTATATTGAAATACAGATTAAAAAGCACTATTAGATTGGCAAAACATTTTAGACTGGACTTTATCATAGTGAATATTGGTCACTTTAGTAGACACAGAATTGTTGGTTTCCTGCCCATTGCAGATGGTTTCTGTGTTTTTTCTCCTTTGGACTAATGTTTTTGAGCCTCTTTTATCAGTCAAATGGAAGTAGTTTTTCAGGATTCCATGAATCAAGATAGGAATGGTGTGCACTCCTGGAATCAGAGCTCCAGCAACCAGAGCAGGATTGTTTGTTCAAGCGAAGCCTGAGCACCAAGCGGCTCGTCATGTCTGAAAAGAACAATTTTTAAAAGGCTGGGGTTGAAATCCCTGGGTTCAGTGCCCAGTACAGCCAAAAAACTAAGGGGACAGCTGCCTTTTCTACCTTGCTGGAAGTGGCAGATAGGCAAGGGGATTTTCAGAATGTAGATACGAAGTTTCACTTTTTTGACAGTTGTTCTCTTGTTAAAGTCTCTATGTATACTTTGAACTCCTGTCTCACTTGCAAGGAGGCCAGACATGACCTTTGTTAAATGCCACGAGAGAAGCCTTGAACGTGTGGACTCAGGGATGGGAAGTGTAGTAGAAGCAAAACCTCAGTGGTGGTTCTGCAGAAATGGGTGTCTGTCGTGCCAGGCACACCTGCTTCAAACAAGCCGCAGCTCCTCCCTCCGGCCTGCATTGTCTGAGCTCACAGGGCATAGAATCTTCTCTAGTGCCATCTCAGCTGCCCTCAGCTTTTGGTAAACCCACCCTTCTCTGCATTCCTTTGACACTGGAATGTTTATAAGATATGTAGTTCTAACATCTTGTTCTAGGACTTTCTGACTGAGGGTCATTCTTTGTGATTAAGATGGAAATAAAGTAACTGCTTTTAAGAGTCTGTGGATTGGTCAGTAAATTTCCATTCTAACTCTGAAAAGGGACCATCTGTCTCTGTACTTTATGCATACATGGAGCTAATCCTGGTGTACTGATAGCAGTTTAGCACATGTGAGAGACAGAGAACCCAGCTCAACTATGAGGTTGTTAAGACTTGAAAATTGTCATGTGAAAATAGCATTGCTAACGAGACATGGTAGCACGCACCTGTAATTGGGCGCTGGGGAGGCTGGAGGTAAGTTTATAGAGACTTTGTCTCAAAAACATTCCTGCTGCTTGTGTGTTCATTTCATTGCTGGTCCAAAGGAAGGAGTAGTGATTTTTTCTTTTGAGGCACTTAAAACCACTCAGTCTTAAACTACATTGGTGGAATAAGTGCCGAATTATTGGAAGAGCTAAATATTATGCAAAGATATATTATTTTTAAATGTTAAAAACATTTTAAAACACTGAATTTATTTTGGGGGAAAATGACCATGTCTGAATACCAATACTTGCCAGTTTTAGTTGGCAGGTCTTCTGTTACACACAGTACTTCGGGTACCTTGGGTTTACTAAAAGCATATAGGTAGATAGGCACGTTACTGTGAAGATGGCTTCAGGAATAGGCTGTAAATAAAAACTGGAAATGCTAATTTTACTATTACTTTTTTTTTTTAAGCATAAACACTTTTGTTTACCCTCTTCCTTCACACCTCACCCCTTTTTGCTATGTATAAGACAACTAATTGCTAGTTGTCTTTGATTTAAAGAATGTTCCAAACCACTGTAGAATAACCATTTTTCTTTTTAAATAAATTTAATCCATATATTCAGCTTACCTATAGCTTTATTGGGACAGAAGGAAAAACAAATGAAAGGCAGAAATCCTTTTAAACATCGTTCTCTTTATATAGTTCTGTTTAGAAGATAAATAAGAAATCAAATCATTTAATATTGCTTTTTAAGTATTGGGAAAAGTGGTCAAAGCTGTTGGCTTGAAATGTTTATAAACAGTTGACATTAACTTCCTTGCTACATTCTTCATGATAATCTCGAACATGATTTAAAACTAAAAGTTTTTCTCTTATTTTCAGGTATTGAAAAAGAATCGAAGTACGGAGAGGATATAGTATCCGTAGTCATTCAGTGACGGTGACCTCTACTCCCTTGGGACTGTAGAATTATAACTTTAAAATGTGTAAATGACACCTGGCCTGTACAGCTGTCTCCTGCCCACTCTTCTTGTAAACTCTGCTGCTTCCCAACACTAGAGTGCAATCTCCATGTCTTAGGAGGAAAATGACAGTTTCCAGCTGTGCCCTATTTATTACACAGTTTGTCTTTCACGTCGTAAATCTAGTCTTCACTGTGCCAAGCTGACTGTACCTTACAGGACTGTGCTTTCTGTATTTGCTTTTTGTTTGTATGTTTGTTTTTTAATTTCAGTTTAAATTACCTAGCAGCTACTGCTTCTTGTTTTTCTTTTCCTGTTAAGTGTCTTTCCTTTTTTAAGGAAAATAGAACATTTAAATTAAATGTCTTAAATGTTACCACTTACAACACTACATGCCCACACAATAATCAGGTCAGTACTGTATTTTAAAATCCTTTGCAGTGAAATCAGGGTTAAAAAGTATTTGTCTCACCTCTGGCATTCAATGCTCCTGAAAACTGTTGGCTGAGCTCAGATGCCAGCTGCCTAACTAGATATTGGAGACTGCGCAAGTGAGGGCTGTCTCTGCAGTGCCTGCTGCCTGGATACTCTTGACTGGGAAGGATGCACATATCAAAAGCAGATCTCAGTTAAGACAGAGCTTGGAGAAGGAACTGCATCTCTCTTCCTAATTCTGTACTTCACGTAGCTTGACGGAATGAAATGCCCTGCTTTGTTCTGACAAGCCTGCTAGCTAATAGAAGAATTGGACAGGTGATAACTTGTCGTTTTTATTGTAGTAAAATTAAGATACTGTGGAGTGAAATATAATTTTATACTATTAGATACTGTATTGGCTGATATAAATTTATACTCTGAAAACAAAAATTCAAAGAAACTTGACAGATACACAGTACAGTTAAAAATACATAAATTTTGGTCTGAAATCTTTGAGGTGTTGCTAACCTACTGCACTAAGTCATCTGTATAATTTTTCTTGTTATGTATAAAAATAGTAAATGGTTTGCAAGTCACTAAGAATCCTCCAGTAAATGTATCGCTGGCCGTTGCTCATGATTGTGTAATTAGTACTGTGTGTACCTATTTTGCCACTTTTCCTCAGATAATTAAGCTACGTCAGCAGTTAGTTTTCAAATACTATAAAAATGATAGGGAAATCGATTTCAGTGTGTTCTTCATCAGTGATGGAGAGGACTGTAACTGTAGCAGAAATTTGCAGAGAATGGGTTTATAAGGTTAGTCAACTCAGACTTGGAAAGTTCTGTGTCAGGATCTGGCTGGCAGAATTAACTTTTTGAAAAAGTTTTATACAGAGATATTTGTATTAAATTTGGAGCCATAATCAGAAGACTCAGATCATAAATTGGCTTATTTTTCTATTTCCTTAACTATTGTAATTTCCACTTTTATAATACTTTTGATTTGAAAGATAAATTTATTTATTTTTTTAACAGTCAAAATTCTTGCTGTTGTAGTCTGCAGCTTTTAAAATGATTGTGTTGCTTTTAGGGTATTAAAAAAAGACAAGCTTCCGAAGTAGAGGCGAAAGGGTGGTACAGTAAGAGAGACGCTATGTGGTTAACCGAGAAAGTGCTACAGTCTCTTTGCGATGATAGTTTGCTAAGTGCAAGACATTTAGCCACACCCAGATAGACATTTTTAAACCGAAAACTTGTTTCTTTAGCAAAGAAATGATTTTTGTTCTCTTGCCTGATTCTGTAGTTGTATCATGTATCATGGGTATTGGTGCTGTGTAACAAACACCAATTTGGATTGTAACTAGCATGTGGTTCAGGATCTGTCGTGTTCTTTAAATATCTTAATGGTTCTTTCCTATTTATAATTTCAAACTTTGATAAAGTACACCAAGAATTTCATAAATTTGTTTTCAGTGAACTGCTCTTTTTGCTATGGTAGGTCATTAAACACAGCATTTATTCTTATAAATGGAAATTTCTGATCATCTAGAATATTGACACATTTCAATTTGTGGTATCTTTTTTTGGACTGGATATATTAATGTTCCTCTGAATGGTATTGATAAATAGTTCAGAAGAGAAATTCAATGAAATAAAAGTAATATTTATTCATGGTGATCAATTACTTAAATTATTTGCTTAACTTAAGAAAACTTACTACTGTGCATAACTCTCAATTTTTTTGTAACTCAATTTTGACATGAGGTGACAGTAGAGAGTCTGAGTCTCCCTGTGGAATATGTTAGATTATTTTCAGTGCTTGAAGGTGCATTCAAAAGTAATTGGTTTGGGAAGACGCCATATAATTTTAAGTTAACCTGCATGCTGTCAATGTGTTTTATGTCTAAATAAAAAGGAAACATTTTGAAACATAACAGCTTCCTTGAAATTTATTTGTGAAATATTATATTGATTTTACATGACTGAATGACCTGTGTCATTCTTACATACAGCAGTTTGGTTTCTAACATGTTAGCCTTTGGACTGTAGGTTTTAAACATGAAGGCTGAGAAATTAAGATCTGGAAATGAATTATCAGTCTCACTTACGTTAGTCTGTATTCTGCTCTTGTAGTCTTATATATTAACTAATGTAAAAGTGTCAGCTCGCCTAATCTGGCTTCATATGTACTATTTTAAAGGGATCTGAGCAGAATTTCCCATATTTTGCTTATTAAATCTTTTTGGTATCATTTAACACATTTCCCTGCCCTTTGTATTTTCAGTGATGTGTTTTAGATCTGCACACCTCTGAGATTCGCTGGCATTTTATTTTGCTGGAGAGGGTTTGGATCCCACCAGGAACCTGTACTGTCTGTCTGCTGTCTCCCAGGTGTGCTCGTTCCTGTTGGTACTGCCCACATCCGTCACAGTGACCGGGTTGTGGAGAGGCCTATCCTGCCATCCTTCATTTGTCAGCTGCGGTGGAGGCGTGGGCCCCTTTACTGTTTGGCTACTCAGTGCTGTAATTGTTCAGGAAAGATGGGGATAATGCTTGTTTCTCTTTTCTTGTGTTTGCATATTTCAAAACAGTTGTTTTGCCACATCCACTGGTGACCAGTTGTACTCGTTTTTGTTTTTTTGTTACTTGGTTCTTGCCTTTCAAGTGTGCTCTATGAGCTTTCAATCATTTTTTTGTCTTTCTCAGAAAATCTAAATGGAAACAGAAAGGGTATTCCTACTGAAAAGAAAGGAGAAAATGGCAGCTCGCCTAAACAGAAGAGTAAAGGAGGCCGTCAGGCAAAGACAGGGGTGGGGACTCCTTACCAGGGGCAGGCCAGCCTGGGGCGTGGATACTGACATGATTGTGACTGACACGGCACAGAACGATAGTGTCTTGTCAACTCTTGATAGCAAACTCCTGCAGAGGTTGCTCCTTTGCAGGGAACGGTGGGGCGTGTTAGGGAAGGAGCTGATGCAGTAAGTGGGTAGTGTGATAGCAGGCGCCCCCTCTCGCTTTTGTCTCTGGTCCTGCCCACGCTCCATCCTAGATGTACCACTGACCTGGCAACATGATAGACTTGCGGGTTCCCAGTGCCTGTCACTGGGTTCCATGGCAGCTGCTGGGCTCTCCTCCAGGTGATGGGTGGCTTCTGGTTTAGGTTCCAGGTCGTTCTAGACCCTGTGTGGGACAGTCCTCCAGATGTCTACGTGTTCAGGGCTGAGGGATGTAGTGAGTGTAGAATGCTTCTTTGTGTGAGCTCCATCTGGCTTTGATCCCCAGGACAGCCAGGATGTACCACACGAGTATTTGATGTGATCCTCTTTCTGCAGTTATCTGAGGAAACGATTGTGTTTCGTGATGAATGGGCAGCTATAATCTGTTTGCTGTACTGTTGCTAAGTTGCACAGGTAGGCCAGACTCTGGTTCTCCTGCCTCGGCCTCCCACAGTGTTGGGTGGGCAGCTGCACTCAGCTTCCCATCTTTGGTCCCTGGCGCTGGGCAGGTAAAGCTGAGCAGTGCCTCTGTATGGAGTAGTTCCTTTAGAAATGGCTTGCCAGTCACACTCCAGGGGCTCCTTGCTTTGAATGAAGAACTTAAAACGAGACAAACCAGAACTGTGCCGAAAGCTTATTTGAAGAGAAGGAGGGAGACACAAGCTCTGCTGAGCAAATGGACTGAATGAGGAAAAGAGAAGAGCAAAAAGCTAAAAGCACGCCTGGGCCTGGAGACACGTAAAGCGTAAAGGAGAGCAGCGGGCCCTTCCTGGCGTTGTGTCCGTGTACGCGGTCCACATCTCAGAGCCCGGAGAAGCAGACGGGTCCCGAGGCAGTGCAATGCAGACCTGGAGCCTGCTTCTTCCCCCAGTAATGCCTGTCATCCTCACGGCACCCCAGGGCCACGTCCTGCATGCCTGGTGTCTGGTCTGGCTGCCACCATGGACAGTCCAGCAAAGTTCCTCCCTGCTGTCCGCTGGATGCAGCCATACCCCCAGGAAGTCTGAACGCCAGGCTGGGAAAGGAGCACCCTTTCCATGCACGTTCCTCCTGGGGATTTGGCCTTGGCCTTGAGCACCCTGTAAGACCCCAGCTTCCCTTTGTGGGCAGTCCCCTTGGATGGGGGCTGATACCAAGTTTATATTCAGGACACCTTAAACCCTGTCCCTTTCTCCCTGTTTGACTGCAGTCGGGCAGCCAGGCTGCTGTAACAGGAAAGGAGAAGATTGTCCCATGAAAGGTAGCAGCTGACAGCAGGGTCTCCAAGGGAGCGGCACAGGGTCAGAAATGCCACCATCCGCACACCCTGTGCCAGCTGCTTCCTCTTGGCTTCTTCGGACAGCCAGGAATCACCAGGCCTGCAGGGACATGGAAGTGTGGGCTGACCAGGAGAACGGATTTCTCCATTAAACTGAAACGAGGAACACTCAGGAAGTAAAACAGGCATTAAATAAGAATAGAAATAACTCAGGGTTTGAGTTTGAGGAAATCACCCACAAAGCAGTACAAACAAGTATAAAATAGGAAACACCAGAACAAAAGTCCTAAGATCTGAGTGATAAATATCCCATAAGATATAGAAAATTATTAATAAAATAATTCAAGTAAAAATTTAAGGACATCTCTTTCTCTAGGTGAGGCTGAATTACACAGTGTGACACATGAAATGTACATCACTGATTTTTGGTACCAGGGATTGAACTCTCGGCCTCATGCTTGCCAGGCAGGGACTTGTGCCACTGAGCTAAATCCTTGACCATATCACTGAATTTCAGTACAAAGACCCTGAAGTAAAAATAACAAATACAGACTCCATACAGAGGACTGCATTCTGATTGTACCAGCATCACAAATTAGATGAAAAAGAGATCAATGCACTAAAAATTCTGAGAGAAATTATCTGCAACCTCCATTAGTCCAAGTAGGCAGAATAAAAAGTTGCTAGACACCCCAGTTCTTACTTTATTTCTTAGATATGCTTTACTGGGAAGCTATGGCTATGAGATTAAGATAAAGATAAGGCTCACCCAGAAAGGCCTGACAGAAAACGGGAATCCAGGGGGTAACTGCGTATAAAGCTGCCAATTCAAACCGGAGGAGGCTGCCTGGGCTTTGTTTCCAACGCCCAAGACAGAGCAGTTCATGTATGAACACAGCCAGAGGTTTCTGTAACTGGAGCGGTTCCAGGAATTCAGGGTGCACAAAATGGCACAGAGAACACAAAGCTGGAGCCATCGGGGCTCAGCTGTGCGGGCATCCCACTGGATTTCTATGTTCACAGCACAACTTGGTCATTTGTGTTGTGGTCTCGGGGCTGCAGGGGTCAAGAGAGCAGTCGCAGAGTCATGAAATAGTTACAGAGCTCGGCAGCTTCAAAGAGAACAGAAGTTGCCCGCTGAGTAAAGGGTTTCAAGATGAAGGGAAAAAGCGATTGCTTGGAGGACTGGGCAGGTGAAATGCGCCGGGGAGCAATCGTTTTGGAAACCTGTTTTCTAGGCCGTGCTGGGCTTTTAGCCTCACATCGAGTCTGTCATCAAACAGCCGTCCTTTGAACTCGATGTCGGGTCCTGGTCCAAGGCTCTTGGCATAACCGAGAATTGGACTTGCTCATTGGTGCTCACATGAACACCTCAGGATTTCTCCATGCTCTGAATTTATGACTCCATGAGAATCTTGTATAGGGTTAAAAATACAGCATCTGAAGGATTGGGTTTACGTGAAGACAAATCCAGGATCTCTCCAATAGCTACTAAAGTACTTTCTTTGTCAAATGAATGCTTTTTTTTTTTTAAATCGGTACAGGTATCGAACTCACGACCGCCTGCTTGCAAGGAAGGCAGGTACTTATGCCACTGAGCTAAATCCCCAGGCCCCTAAATGAATGCTTTCAAGTTTTGAAGATTTAAAGTATAAGTGGCTTTTTAAAACAGTGGGCATAACTTTCATATGAGATTTACCATCAAGGCTGGGGATTTAGCTCAGTGGCATAAGCACCTGCCTTGCAAGCCGGCGGTCATGACTTCAATCCCCGGTACTGATTTAAAAAGATAAAAAATAAAAAAAGAGATTTACCATCTAGAACTACTGATAGTGCATGGGTTCAGTAGTGATAGATGAGAGTGAGGTTTTAGAAAGAGAAGGCATGTAGAGATCACTTAGGCCTGACAGGGCTAAAGTCTTCTGTCTCATAATCCACACTGAAGTGCTTCTACCCTGGGTGCATATCAGCTTGCCAGGATAATATTAGCATTCCATTAAACTTTCAAATGTTTTCTCTAAGTAAAATTAGAACATATGACCACTATTTAAAATACTCAAGAAGAAATGAACGTATCTTTCTCCCACTTTGTTAGAAGCCATTTGAAATGAAAACAAGTCTAAGAGTCTAAGCAGTCCCAACACGGGTGCACTGTTTCTCCGGGAAGAGCAGGCGCGCACCAAGCCCACGCCAGAACGCCCGCACCAACATCTCGGACACATTATTTGGTCTTTGCACCAAAAGGCAAATAGCTGTTCTGCACAGTAACTGGAATTGTGCGCAAGCCTCCGCCCTACACTGCTCTGGAAATGAACAAAAGTCCTCGCACAGATGTAAGTGCATTAGAAGGAACAAAGGCCTGCATTTTCAGGCTGAGAACATTCAACCGACAGGGACAGAGGGATTTTTCTTTTGGTAGGCGGGTCCGCATAACTGTTTCATGGCTAGCAGATGAAGGCAGATCTGGAATCTTTAGGTCAGGTTCTGTTTTGAATGTAGTTGACCATGGCAAGTATTTTCATCTTGGTTTCTGTTTTGTGGTACTGAGGATCGAACCCAGGGCCTTTGTGCATCTTCAGCCCTTTTTAAATTTTCTTATTTATTTATTTGTTTGTTTGTTTATTTTGAGATAGGGTCTCGCAAAATCACCAAGTAGTTTTTTTTGATCCTTCTGCCTCAGCCTCCCAGAATGCTGGGATTACGGACATGTGCCACCGTGAGCCCTGCAGACCAGTACTTTTTGAATATTTCATCAGCATTCCTGGGATGCTCAGAAGTCAGAGCCTTGGTCTGGTCTCCTGTGGATGCGGATCTGTGAAGAAGACCTATTCTTCCAGGCTCTGGGCTGTTGTAGACCAGGCCAGGCACTGAGGACCAGGCTGCTGCGATCTGTGGGTTGGGCAGGAGCTGCACATCCAGGACGGAGCCCATCTCAGGGAGGCCTGGAAGATGCTGCTCAGGGAGCACGGCGAGGTTCCGGCCCCTGAGTCTAGCAGGCAGCACCAGAGGCCCTGCCTGACCCACCCCCCACACACTCCCCTAAGGCTACATCTGTGCTGCTGCTGGACAGCAGCTCCCCAAGGCTGGTCATCCAGATCCAGAACATTGATGTCCCCACTGCTCTTCCTGAAACGCATGCTTTCTGACGATAGCATATTTATCATAAATTTCTAATTCACAAATCCAACTACATGCAGTCACATCCACGCTGCAACTCAACATGTCTAAAAGTGATTCCAAAAAGACAGAAGTTACACCTGGACATAAATACCTGTGTCACGAAAGCCTTGAGGACAAAAGTGTTCTGGAATTTTGAACATCTCAGCATTTTGAGAAGGTGATACCCTGTATAAATACCTCCAGTGGGAGCTGGGCTAGTATATTATAATCAAACACACTTTTGTCTGCAAAATATACAGCTATTAACATGCAGTTGAATATAAAAAGGCTCAAAATAGAGGACAGGAGCACAGCTACAGTCCCAGCCCGCAGGAGACTGGCAGGAGGGTCTATAAGTCCAGGAGTTTGAGGTCATATGGTGAGACCTTGTCTCAAAAATAAATAAAAAATATATGCTGTAATCCCAGGACTTGGGAGGCTGAACCTGGAGGGTCACCATGAGTCTAGGCCAGAGTGGCTGCATAGGGAGACCCTGTCTATCAGTCAGTTAATCAAATAGCTTCATGTGTCAGTGCAGTCATGTTTCCCATTATAGTGAGTCTTTTTTTTTTTCTTTTATTTTCTTTCCTGAATTTACAGAAAAACTAACTTTCCAGAGAGTTTAGCCAATGGAATTGTGGATAAGTGATTACCACATGTGTGATAAAAGACTAAAATCCCTACACACATGTGATGCTAAGAATTAATAAGAAAGACAGGCTGGGGATTTAGCTCAGCTGCATAAGCACCTGCCTTGCAAGTAGGCGGTCATGAGTTCGATCCCTGGTACCAATAAAAAAAAAAAAAAAAGAAAGACAAAAACTGTGGGCAGAAAAATGGACCAAGGACAGAGGTAGACCATTGAAATACATTTTTTTAATGTTTAATCTCACTCCTACTCAAAGCAATGCAACCTGAAATCATAAGGCATCTCCTGCTTTGCAGAGCCGGGCTGAAGGAGTTAGCCAGCACAGCTGTGGCCACTGCTCTGAACTGTCCAGGGAGGGAAGTGAAGCACCCTCAGGGTGCGTGGGAGTGGGGTGCAGGGCACACCCAGACCGTACCTGACCCCTGGTCCAGGGGTCCTCTCCGAGGCTGAGCCCTGGCCCTGCTGCTGTTGCTTAGGAGACTCTGAGCCGAATAAATGTCCTGCCTTTCAATCCAGGCTGGAGTATTTATTTCCAGCTGGGGATTGCAAAGAAAAGAAAGAAAGGGAGGGGGAAGAGAAGGTGAAAAAAGAGAGGAAAGAAGAGGAAAGGGAAGGAGGGAGAAAGGGAAAGGGAAAAAAGGAAGGAAGGAAGGGAATGGGGCGTGGTGCCACATGTCTGTAACCCTGGGGTTCAAGCCCCAGTATCTGAAAGAAAAGGAAACATTACATGTGAGGTAACATATTTTCATGAAAAGTAGCAAAAGCATTTAGTGACAACACTAGTGTTGCTTTACATTTTTACAAATTATTGTGGTCTGTGTCTGGGTGTCCCCTGAAAGCCTCATGCAGTCATGGGGGCAGCTTCTAGAGTTTGTGACTGATTGATGGTCCAGTGCCAGGGTTGCAGGTGTGAGTGCTACCCCCCTCCTCAGGTGGATAGCCTGCATGTACGGGACAGAAAGAGTCTTCTCACGTCCCCCCCCCCCCCCGCTTTTTGCTCTTGTTGCTTTGGTGTCTTCTGCTGCCAGGAACAGGTTGCCCTTTAGCCAGTGCCACCCTGCCTTAGAGCCAGCTGATTATGGACTGAAACCTCCACAAACTGTAAGCTAAATAAACCTTTCCTTTCTTCATTTTGGGTGTTGGGATTTTGTCTGAGCAACAAGACAAAAGTAACTAAGGTAAAATCATGTCAATATTGGGCCTAATGCAGGCTGGCAAGACACTCCCAGACAGTCTGGCATTTAATCTGCTGCAGCCCTTTGCATCTAAAAAACAAAACTCAGCCTCCTTCAGAGGCACAGCTGAAAAGGGAGGAGCTCGCCCATACAAGGTCTCCCTGCATGGCTGTCCTCGCCTGTTTAGATTTTTCCCACTAACCACTTTGCAGGGGAGGGACCAGCTGAGCAGTGGCCCCAAGATCCTCACTACCCAGGTCGGCCAGGGATAGAGGGGGCTGCCTGGGCCCTTGCAGTTGCAGCCAGGGTGCTCGAGCTGCAGCCCTTGGACCTGGGCAGTGGTCCAGCTTCTGGCAGGCAGCACCACTGAAGCGCTAGAATAAGGCGAAGTATAAACACATAAAGTGGCACTTCCATCCCAGAGAATGAGGCCCCATGGTGGAAAGATGCCCAAGAGGCCCTTGTGCTGGACACAGGACTGGCACCATCTCAGCTTCCTCAGCTCTGCCTCTTGGTCCCTCGGGTTCAAGCTGCACTTCAGCACATGGCTTCACCATTTGGATCCCACCAACCCCTGCCCTTGGAAAGGAAGTCCACTGCCTACTGTTGCCCCTGCAGAGCCAGGCCAACCCCAGCTGGGCACTATAATCTTAGCGCTCAGGAGGCTGAGGCAGGAGGGTCTCTGTGAGTTCAAGTCTGGCTTGGACTATATAGTGAGACCCTGGCTCACAAAGACAGAACAACAAAAACAGTAATAATAACATTACATGCAAATGTCAATTGCATGCTTTATGTAAAATTGAGTGTACTTCCTAAACCCAAATTAGGAAGGGTATTGTTTTGTACTTTTGCATATCTCTTTAGTATTTGGTTTAACAGAAAGCTCAATTCTCCTCTGCTTCTGGATTAACCCATTGTGCTACCTTGTTTGGACTGAAGTGTAATGAAGATAATCTGGCCTCACAAAAATGTACAGCTGGAAAGGGAGTCCACTCTTTCTGATAACTGGGTATTCCTTGATACACACCCACACAGGATGAGTGATCATTTCTGAAGGGTTGCCTGCAAACCCTAATCTGCAGCCTCGGAATGAGTTCCACGTAGCTCGGATGTTAAAGTCCCTTCTTTGTACTCTGAGCGGATCTTTTGCCTGTCCATAACACTGGTCTTGCACCCGCTGGAGAGGCTGTAGGCCCCCAGGATCCATGAGCCGCGCTTGGAGGATTGCCGCTTTATCACGGTGCTGCTTGCTCGAGGCCGGCATCTCCCTGCAGACCGTGAGCTTCAAGGGAGCGGCAACCGTGTCCCTCTCGCCTCCCTGCAGTGGAGCAGCGTCCAGGAGAGGGTTCAGTGGTGTTGCACCGCATCCACAGAAGTGGTCAATGGATCTGTGTGACCTGGATCCTCTGTCAGTTTGTTGAGTAGGATTGAGAAGATCAATGTCACAAGAATAATTAATGCAAAACTAGCTCACTTTACAAGCCAGATTGAAAGCACACCTGTAATTCCAGCACTTGGAAGACTGAACCAAGAGGATCATGAGTTCAAGGTCAGCCTGGGCTACATGTCAGACCCTGTCTCAAATAAAACAAAACAAGTCGTTTTATGAAGCGTTTCCTCAAGTGTATAATGGAGAAAGAAGAATAAATGAGATCAGGCTAAAGAATATTATAAAAAAACAAAAGGTGAAACAAATTTAAAATTATGTGGCATCGAGAATATCCATAGTTTTCATATACACAGGTATAAATATTCTCATTTCAAAGTAATCTAAAGTAGCTGGGCATGGTGGTGCATGCTTGTAATCCCAGCACTCAGGAGGCTGAGGCAAGAGGATCGCTGTGAGTTTGAGACCAGCCTGGGCTACACAGTGAGATCGTGTCTCAAAAACAAGGAACAGCAACAGTAAAACTTTAGAAAGAAACAATCTAAAATATCTTCTTTTAAAGTGCTGGGTATCGAACCCAGGACCTCGTGTATGCTAGGCAGATGCTCTACATACTCAGCCCCTGTATTACATATCTTTTCTGAGGTTTTATTTTGTTTGAGACAGGATCTCACTATAAAATCCAGGCAGACTTTGAATTCCTGTCCTTCCTGTTTTACCTTTCTGAGTGCTCTACGGGTTCAGCCAACCCCAGCCCAAGGTATATTTCCAATAACCTCTTGCTGTTTTGAGACAGGTTCTGACCGTGTGGTTCAGTGTGGCCTGGAACCCACCACATAGTCCAGGCTGGCCTTGAACTCATTGTAATCCTCCTCAGCCTCCTGAGTGCTGGAGTTACAGGCGTGTGCCACTATACAAGAAAATTTGCATCCAACGAAATTAGACTCCATTTATCACCCTAGACCCTTGCTGTCTTGCCTGAGTGACTCTGTAACAGCTGGAAGCAGGAATGCAGATCTGCAGGCTTCCCTGCAGACCTCCTGCCTCGGACAGTGTTTCCCAAACACAGCCTCCACTGCATGTTCCACCCTTGTGCTCCACGTACCAAACAAGCCAGTGTTCCTCCATCGAGTGACAGTCTCAGTGCCCCTCACCCTTAAACCCTGAGACCGATGTGACCGCCTCCGGAAGAGAGAATTGTAGGAATGATGTTGGGTGACTGGTGAGGCCCACGTGGAAAACACTTTGCTTCCATCTTGGGTCATTGCTGGCACCCAGCCGCCATGCTGGAAGAGAGCCCAACCATCCATAGGGGAGCAGATGACTGACTTTATAAGAGCAGGGTGTCAGTCAACAGCCAGCAGGAACAACCGACCTATCCCCCCTGTGCCCGCCAGAATTACAGGTTTGTGAGCAAAATAAATGATTAATCATTTAATGGACCTAGTAAGCCACTATGTTTGGGGATCCCATATATCCCCAAAGAGATGAAAAACGCCAGCCCCAATCACCTTGCTTTACTACCATTAAGAGTCATCATGAAGGGCCAGGCATCATGGCAGACGCCTGTACTCTCAGCACTTGGGAGCAGCGCAGGGTGGTCACTGTGTGTCTGAGGCCAGCCTGAGCTCCATAATGAGACTCATCTCAAAAACAAACACCAGACGAAGGCTGGCCATGAGCTCACGGGGATCCTCCTGAGTACGAGGGCTTCACTGTCTTCATTTTAATAATATTCCCACGTGATTGGATGGGTGTTGAAATGTGTGAAGCATTGATTGGAAGCAAAATTGTGTAACATTTAATTTTCCTACTGCCCTTAACAACACTGCCCATCAATTATGAGAAGCTGCAGGCAGAGGGAAAATCACAGGGAAGTGTAATTATGTGCAGAAAGGGAGATGCTGATGCCTGTTTAAGGTGCTGTGTCCTTTAAGTGTTAGGACTTGTTTCAGCTGTGGGTCAAGCTCACATTCCATGGGCTTCTCCTCCAGGACTCTTGGAGAAAACCGAGCTGGGTGGGGCCTTAAGGCAAGCCTGGAGATTTTAGTAGCTGACACTCAAGAGATGTCATGGGAAAAAAAAGAAAAAGGAAAAACTCAGGGCTGGGGGTTTAGCTCAGCAGCATAAGTGCCTGCCTTGCAAGTGTGCAGTCGTGAGTTCGATCCCTGGTACTGATAAAAACGAAAAAGACAAAAAACAAAAAAAAAAAAGAAGAAGAAGAAAGAGAGATGTCATGAAGATAAGAACCGAGATACCTAGTGTTTCCTTGTATGCAAGGCAGAATCATTTAGGTAGCAGATGGCACAGAGAAAAGTTTTAAAACCAAGTGATGCCATTAAATGATGCCATGCTGCCAAAGTTAGGTGTGCACAAGTGTGTGGAGCCCATTGTTGTTAAAGAATATCACTTTTTATTTTATTTTAAAGAGAATATCACTTTTTGTTTTATTTTAAAGAGAATATCACTTTTTATTTTAAAGAGAATAAAACTCAACAAAACAAAATGGAGCAAAGCCAATCAAAATAAGGCAGTGAAGATGGCACAGACAAGATAAGAGGAAATCAACAGTGGCTACCATAGTGTCTCTTGTTAATTTCAAAATAGATGCCCATAGCATCAGACATGGTAAAATCAAACAAAACGAAACAGAATAAAATCAATCAAAACAGAACATTGAAAAAAAAAACAATAAATCAGAACAAAACAAAACAGTGAGGTCAATATTGGATTTCAAAAACAAGACACAGGCAATCCCCCATATTTGCTATATTGCTTACCGTCATCCTCCTAATAGAGGCTCAGATTCAGGGCTGCAAAGTCAATCAAACAACACAAGCATTTGTTGTTTCTGTACCTCAGTTGCTGTCAACTCAGCCCATCCCCAGACCACCGGCTGCTTACTGGGCTTTGTGGTGGGGGCTCTTGATTCCCAGCCCGTGTGCAGGTGGACCCACAGGGAGGGCAGTCTGATTTCTCTCTTCCACACCCTCCATGGTTTGTGTGGCTTATCCAAGCGTGAGCTGGCTTGGTGTGGTCCTCCCAGGTCCGCTTGCCACCTGCTGATCACAGGAAGGAGGATCTGGCCTCTCTCTTCCTGTAGTAGAATTTTTACAACAAATGGTTCTTATTCTTCTTTGTCTTCGTCTCCATCTTGAGTCAGGGTCTCACCCTGTAATCTTAGCACTGAGGAGGCTGAGGCAGGAGCATTGCAAGTTCAAGCCCAGCCTGGGCAACTTTGTGACTCCTGTCTCAAAATTAAAAAGTGAGATAAAATTTAAAAAGGAAGTGTTAAGCCCTTGGGCCCAGTCCTAAGCACTACACACACAATTTTAAAAAATAAAAAGTCCTGCCTGACGCATCCAGAGAGTCTGTGCCAGTGTACACTGACCCCAAAGCTCTTCAGAGCCCCTCCTTCCTGTGGCCCTGCCACACCTCTGGGAATTCCCTTCCTCTGAGAATCTCGGCCAAGGTAGGTGGTAGGAAAGGTGTGCACAGTAGCTTGGGTTTTGTTTTGAAGCAATAATTTTTAAATATTATGTTTATTTTTATAGAAAATTGATAATATGTATGTAAGTTGTATCTTTGCCAAATACTTCTAGAAAGAAACATCCTTACTATGTAGCTATGACACACACATGGATTGTTCATGGACACGCATATACATACAGATATGGCATGAAGGCCAGCTTTTATCCAGAAGGCTCATAAAAACATAGCAGTGTAAGACCAGACATAAGACTTCATTCACCATTTTCTTTCTTTGTAAATCATGTAAAATTTTTGCTTAGTTATATTGCATATACGAGTTTGTGTTCTTTCCATTTAATACTAGAGTATGAATTTGGGACACAAACCAGTAGTTTGGGTTTTAACCTGTGTTACCGGGCTTTCAGACTGCTCACAGCATGTCAGGAGAACATCAGCCGCTAGAGGGCGGCGTTGTCTGTTTTGTTCGCTGCCGTATTCCCAGCCCCTCGCCCAGTGCCTGGCACACAATAGTCTCTCAATCTGCGCTGGGTAGTAGAGTTCATAGGGAAGGTGCTAGGCCCCGAGGGCAACACTATATACAGGCGATTGCACCTTTTGTTCCCAACCTCTGATGCTTTAGCTGGGAAGAAGACACATCTACCCCTCTATGCGGCTGTTAGGAGTGGGACTGTGTGCCTCAGTTTCCCCAAGGTCTCCCCACACGAATTCTTTGTACAACAGTAACCTGTATCTTAAATCACCTCATTCCAAAAAGCTCTCCAAATGTTAAACATGTGCTCGGTTATTTTCCTGTCACATAGTCACAGAGTGAAACTGTCTTTGGGGTTTTGGTTCTGCAAGCCGGCTTCCTCCAGTTCCCGCTCCTCTAACAGAACACCCCTGACTGAGTCGTTTATCAGTGCTGAGTTTTATTGGTGGGCCAGGAGCTGGGGGTCCAGGAGGCAGGGCCCCCACCAGCTGAGGGCACTCTTGGGGTGTCGTGGACAGGGCAGAGGGTGAACAGAAGAGGAGCCCAGACTCGCTTTTGTAACAAACTGCCCCCTGATAACAGTGTTGACTCACGTGGGGCCGCAGCCCTGGAGACTCAGTGCTTCCCCTGCCCTAGCCCCGATGCCACGGCCCTGAGATCAAGTTTCCAGCACAGGAACTTCTAGGGGCGCATTCAAACCACAGCACAGGCCTCAAGACAGAGCTCAAACGTGTAATCCTCCTGCCTCAGCCTCCCAGAGTGCTGGGATTACAGGTGGCATTCCCCCACCACTTTAAGCTCTGTTCTGAAATTTAGCTCTGTAACTGTGTGCTTGTGACGTCAACACTTTCACAGAGATGTCCGGCTCCTGGATGAGGAAAGCATTCTGGATCTGGGCACAGACAGACACACACTGCCCGGCTGGCGTGATTTCAGTTCTGGCTGTGCTCAGCTTGGGGACACCCACCTCCCACCTGTCTGCGGCACCGATCTCCCTGGTATCAACAGGATTGCTGGGGTGCGGGCAGCCTGGCCTCTCGGGCCACCGTGTCACAGGGCGTCTGACCGCAGTGTGTTGGACGCTAGATCCTCCAAATGCTTTCACCCACCACCCTCGGTAAGGGAAGAAGAAACACAGACTCTGCTCTGTTCCCACTGCCTGGAAAGAACTCTGTGTAGAAACACTGGCCTGAACCTTTTGTTACATATTTTGCAAATGTCTTTCATTCTTTTCATTTGCGTTTTAGTTTTATTTGTGGTATTTTTAAAACTTACAGATGTTTCACCTTTTTTGGTAGCAAAATCGTTCGGTCTTCTCCGGCCGACTTTCCTTTTAGTTGTTATGCCTAGAAGTCTGTCTGCTGTGTGTGTTAGTGACACACATATTCACGGTTCTCAGTAACAGCACAGGCTGATTATCCTTGGGCATCAGCCCTGGATGGGCTGTGTGAGGGTCCAAACTCTACCCTCACTTGGCTCATCATGGGTGTGACCCTGAGGGAAGAGTCCTGCACCAGCCAGGCTTCCTTCTCCAGCTCGCCCACCGTCACAAACACCCTTCCTGCCCTTCCGGGCCAAGGACGCCAGCTTCCCAGCACCACGCAGGTATCTATGTCCACGAACACAGATTTCCTTCTTCAGTGGCTGACGACACAACCCAGGTAGTTTCATGCCAGTCCTCGAGAGTAGCAGAGACTGCCAGAAGGAAGGAAAAGAAAATGTAAAGCACAGCCGCGTGCAATGCACTGCAGCAGGGACTGTTCTGTGTGGTGAAAATCGCATGAGGTGAAGGAATCCGTGATGCACAACGAGCTGCCCGGCAGCACATGCTATGAATTCCCAGCTGCACAGAATGAATGCTGACCAGCGCGGAGTGAAGGGCCCTGCTCCCGACCTCGCGGGAACCCTGCAGCCTGGGAGGGTGGGAGGCGCACTGAAGGCTTCTATTTGGCTCCACGGAGCCGCTAATTTGATGTAGTTATACCCTGCAGCAGCTGAGCGCATCTTGCAGAGCCTCTGTGCCCTGTCATTACCGCAGGCGCCTGAGAGCCCGGCGGGGCAGCCTCTTGGCAGCACGGCAAGGTGTAGTCCCAGGGTGACTGAGAGAGGTGTGCTATGGGGTGGGATGCCGATCAGCTCCTAGTGCAAATGTGTGGAGATAGGAAGGCGGCCATCACTGGGACATCCCACAGCATGAAATAGTGAGTTTAAAACACTCCAGGGCATCTGCTGAGTTTTGAAACCAGCAGCAAGGTGTGAGACTTCGGTTAAGGCTAACCAAGTTTCTACTACCTACCCGCTTTTCAGAAGTTGGAACTTGATATTTTTAGGGAGTTCTGTCAGTTTGGTGATGTGACTTACAAATTTAAAAATAACTCTTACTAAATTGGACGTGGTGGCTCACACCTGTAATCCCAACACTCAGGAGGCTGAGGCAGGAGGATCTTGCGAGTTCAAGACCAGCCTGGGCTACAAACTGAGCCCAAAGCCAGCTTGAACTGCACAGAGAAACCTTGTCTCAAAAAAACAAAAACCCAACCTCTTACTTTACTGTGAAGTTGCTGTTGAAACAAATACAGGTTTTTAAAAAAACTGGCTTTGTTTGTTTGGATTTTGTTTTGAGACAGACTCTCCCCACGTGATTCAGGCTGACCTGGAGCCCACTGTGAAGCCCAGACTGGCCTCCGCCTCCTGCAGGCTGTAATTAACAGTATGTGCCTCCATGTCCAGCAGAAAATTGGCTTCAAGGAACATTCTTTTCAGTTAGACACAGCCTTCTTTCTTTTTTCCTTTGAAGGTAGTTTTAAACTTTTCAGCAAGGAAACATATGTAACCTACAACTGCGGGGACCTGAACAGACCTCAAAGACAAACTTACATTTTCCTTAGGTGGGCTTTGCTTCACGGTGATGCTGTTTAGATCTTTAAATGATTAGCCAAAGAAACTTGGTAAAATTATTCTTGCAAAAATTGAAAACCTCATTTAAACAAAACAGAAAAATTTTTTTAAATCCAGAGCACAACCTTGATGGTCCTCAGGTTCTGTGGTTCTGGGGTGCCTGCTCCCCCATCTTGGTCCTGGACTGGGCCGCTGTCCTGTCCCTGGCTGGCAGGTAATAGCGTGTGCACTTCCTGTTCCCAGAGGAGCCGCTGGGACCCTGTTTGTTTTGTTCATCTTCAAGGTGCAGGGCCAGGTCCCTGCCCTGCTCAGCAGGCGCTCTGCTGTCAGAAGCCTCCCTCAGGAACTGAAGACGGGGCTGAGCACGCAGGGCTCTCCTTACATCACAGGGTTGCAGAACCCAGACAACTCAGGCTCCTTCCGCTTCCCATCTTGGTCCTCAGGCCACCTTTGCTCCCTGTGAAGAAGCAGCCTCAGGATGAAACCAACACAGAACACAATGGAGCCGAAAGCCAGGAAGAAGGGACCCCTTCTCCTGATCCTGGGACCCCTTTGTCCTGAGCTAGACTCACCCCGCCACACACCAAGTAGTTAGTTTTGATTTTCATCACTTGCATCCAGAGTGGTTCTAACGATAACCAGGTGTCAGGAACGGATCCTCAAGCAGCAAAGCTTTCTCTAACACAGCGCGACTCCCAGGCAGAGTTCTCAATATGTTGAGCATATTTACATTTTCTGATCTTATTGGTTTAACACCTAAAACTAAATTCCTTGTATTTCCTATCACATGAACTACATCCTGAAATTTACTTTTCTCAAGAGTCAGAGAATGTTTTCTTGTTCCATCTCTGTTCCCAGATAGCAGAGAGAAGCGCAGTTTAACGGCGCCCTCCCCAACACGCAGCAAGACAGCACACGGCGATACTGAGGGCCGTGGCGACTGCTGAACCAAAGAACACGGAGGCTTTAAATGCCATTTAGATGAGTTTCCCTGAAGTTCAGCAACTTGTTTTGCTAGTATGAAGACCAAGTCAAGTATTTCCTTCCTGTTCACAAAGCCTGGTGCAAACTCCAGGTTAGTCCTTTACACCTGGGCTTTTCATAATTGGAAAATCTTATGGTCATTTCTCCTGCCCTCCTCCAAATAATTCGTGAAAACTGTGCTCAGGGAGTCACGCGGGGACGCCTACCTCCAAGAAGCCCCTGGCCCTAGAGCTACTGCGTCTTTAGACAACGTCAGTGCTTGACACCAGCCCCCGTGGCTGCGATGACTCAATTTTGGAACAATCTTTTGTGTGGAACTAACTCTGTGAAGGGCTTTTTGAAAATCTAAATCAGCTCCATTCACGAGCCTGCTCCATATGCACATGGTCCTCCTCCCAGGCCTCGGGAGGTCAGAGAGGCCCGGTTTCTTCTTCCCGAGACCACTGCCTTCCTTGGTTCACTCAGCCCCAGCCCAGGTGCCTTCCTGGGAGAAGAACGCAGCCCTGTCCTGCTCACCGGCTGCCACCGGGTCCTTGGTCCCTTTCAGCAATAGCAGACTAGTGCAGGGTTAAGATCGCTAAAATGACTGTCCTAAAAGAGACTAATAACTATGGTGAGGCTCGCATTCGGAGGTCAGGGAAATAGGGACTCAGGAGTGGGCAGGAAAAAAGACACAGAAGTAGCCAGGGCTGCTAACCCAGGATGGGGAGGGTTTCGGGTCCTCCAAGGATTTGCTCATCCTTACCGATTTTGCTTTAAATTCTCTCTTCCTTTGATTTCTTCCGCTTCGTTCTTTTGTCCTGTCTTGCTGGACATTCCTTCTCAAATTCTTTCTCTGATCCTTCTCTTTCTTCTTTTTATGTGTTTTTAATCCGGGGTCCATCTTTGGATTCTCTGTGTCCTCCACTGCCAGTTCCCTGCACCCCTATGGGTTTGGGTGGGGCCCACAGCTGGAGAGAACCGAAGTGTCCACTTGGGGTGTGGCCTGTTCTCAGAGCTTTGGAGATTTCTGCTCACCTGCCCGCTGGACATCCCACACTGATGTCCTCCTGAAGCGCTAAACCTAAAGCATCATCTTTGAAGATGTTACACCCTTTTCTATTCGTTTCATGTAATCTAAGAAGCCACAGCACCAGGGGACAGGCAGGCTTAGAAACAAGTGGCACTGTGACTGGAAACCTCACCGGTGTTGTACGTCTACAAATCATACGTCCACTTTTCTCGGCTGTGTCCGGTTCTTCTCCCTGCTGTTATAGACGGGTAACTTGTGTTTCTCAATCTCTGTGACAGAAGACGTAGACTCTCATGTTACTGCTTCAGTCACCCATGGCGAGACTAGCTGGAGTTCCTCTGGTCCTAAGTTCAAAGCCCAGGAAAGAAACTCACCGGCCAAACTAGGTTTGCACCCACAAACCAATCAGCTTTGCTTCAGGGTTACACTGTGTTTGGGTGTTTTGTCTGTCTTGTTTTGTTTTCTAGGACGGGGGACTGAGCCCAGAGTCCCACACTTGCTAGAGGAGCATGTCCCCAGAGGTCCATATGTGTTAAAGGTGTGGCCCCCAGAATGGCAGAACTGGGGGGTCTGGTCCTTTAAGAAGCAGGGCTTGGTGGGAGGCCCCAGGTCACTGGGAGCTGTCCTTGTAGCAAATGTCCAAACTGGTCTCAGGTCCTGTCCAGGCACCACGTGAGGAACCAGCCCACTAGTCCCCCCTTTCCCCCCACCCCAGGGCACTACTTGTAGGTCCCAGCCCAGCTGGTTTATTCCCCTAACCCAGAGCTACCCAGGATGAAAGGCACAACTGGGTTAGCATGTGCAGCCAGGGGCTTCTGCCTCTGGTGGGCAGAGGCGCCCTGAGGGTCTGGATGGCCTGCTTTTACTCCCTTGGACACAGGTTTAAGCTGTTAGAGGGCTTATTCACCTGCCTCCCATTATCTGTTAGCACACGATGCTGTCAGGCATTCACTTTCCCTGGGGCCTTCGGGGGGCCACCGTCCCAGCCTGTGGTCGAAGGAGCACAGCCTGCTCCAAGTGGACCTCGGTTCTCCTTCTCCGGGGTCCCCTTGGGCCCAGAGCGCTCTGCCGCCTGTCTCCTGGGCAGAGCGGAGCAATGGACCTACTAGCCGCTGCCTCCCGGCATCTTCACTGAGGTCCTTGGCGGTGGGGCTGCTTGGCTGGTGCCGTGCTGGACTCCCTGACTCTGCAAGCAACCTCAGACTGTTCCTCCCCGCCGCCCCGGCCTCAGGGAAGCACCGCGTGGTGGCTGGGACAGCTCTCTGGTACACAGCGCGTGCGCCTTGAAGCTGTCCCTCACTGACAGCTCTCCACTGTGCTTCTGACTTTCTGTATCCATTGTGGAGGGTTTTCTTCTTGTGTAGACTGTGACTTATTCAGTCTTCCTCTTTACACTCTGCATGCAGACTGCCTTCAGCTCTCCGCAGCACCTCCTACAGAAGGAACAGTTGGGTGGGACCGTTCAGCACTGGATCCGGCTCACTCTTGTTCTTCTTTTATGAAAAGATAAGCATGTTTTCATAACCAAATAAGAGAACAACAAGTTATTACTCTCTGTACTGTTTCTTCAAAAAGTTAGTGCAAAACATTAAAACAAATTAGCATATATATTGAAATATTTCAAAAATAATGAATATGTGATTTAAGGAAGTATTTGAACTTCTCCCTACTTGTTTCTCTTTTGTTTTGGGTAGTTTTTATTGCCACATATTCCATTTTATGGTTATTTCTTTTCTTTTTTGTTACACAAGGTCTCACTACGAAGTTCAGGCTGGCCTGAGACTCACAGTGACCCTCCTGCCTCAGCCTCCCGAGTGCTGGGACTTCGGCCATGTGTTGCCATGCCTGGCTATGATTCGTTGCTTCTGCCATGTCCAATCTTCTCACCACGCCACCTAGTAAAGTTTCCACCGAGGGTACTGTGCGTGTCATGTGTGGATGCGCAGTTTTCTTTATATTTTCCATTTCTTTTCTTCACATTTGCAGTCCTCCCTGTAGATTCTGAAACACATCAATTACAGTTAAAATAACTGTATTGATGTCTTTTCTACTAATTCCACTTTGTCTAATTTAATGTGTCCTTTCTGGGTTGTTTCCATTGATTGAATTTTCTCATTCTTGACTGTATTTTCCTGTCTGCTCACATGCCTACCAGTTCTTCTTTTTTTAAATTAAAAAAAGTATTTTTTATGTTAAAGAAAATAAAACCTAACAGAATAAAGCCAGTCCAAACAAGGCAGTGAAAGTGGCACAGAACTTCAAAACAGGATAATAGGAAATGAACAGTGGCTACCATAATGTATCTTGTTATCTTCACAATAGTTGTCCATTTCCCCATAGTAAAATCAAGAATACAACCAATCAAAACAGAACACTGAGTAAAACAGAACAATACATCAGAACAATAAAAAACAGTGAGACTAATACTGACAGAGACAAGACAGAAGGAAATCCCCCATATCTGCCACATTGCATACTGTCATCCTCCTAGTGGATGCTCAGACCACCAGCCCTAGGCCTGCAAAGTCAACCAAACAACACAAGCATTTAGTTGCTATCAACTTAGCCTGTCCTCTGAATCAGCCAGTTGCTTTTGAGGAGGGAGGGGAAGTGCAGGGGAACAGCCTCTTGATTCTCAGCCCACATGCTGGTCACTTATGGGAAGGGTGAACTGGCTTCTTTTTTCCTGGGCTTCGCATAAAACCAACTTTTCTATGGGGTGACAGACTTTGTGAATTTCACCTTGATATTTTTCTGTTCCTACAAATATTCCCTTTAGCTTTATTCTGGGAAGCAGAATAAAGCAGTTACTCAGAAACACTTGAGTCTCTCCAAGCTTTGTTAAAGCCTTGTTAGGCTTCCTGAGCTAACTTCTCAGGAGGCAAGGTCCTTTTGAAAACTTCCCTGAGGCCCCATGAATCACACTGATCATCAATCAAGAATCACTGTCTCTGCTCTGACTTGGTGGTTATCTCCCCAGCTCTGAGTAATTTCCCCACATGTGTGCACTGAACAGTAACTGAAGATGGGGCGGGGGCTTCTGATCTCCGGACCCTCTCTAGGTGCAGCTCTCTCCTCCAGTGGGATCTGCCCTCAGCCCACCAGGCATGCCAGCTTCCCAGGGCAGCCTGGACACCCCGGCCAGCAAGCCACACACTCAGGAAGCACTTCTGATCTTGGTACACAATGTCTGAGAACCACAGAGGTAGGATAGGGTAGAGGCAGAGGCAGAGGTAGAAGGCTCTTAGATGATAGAGATAGAAATGAGTTTTTTCATTTGTAAGGATTGGGGTTTTTTGTTTTTGTTTTTGTTTTTGGTACTGGGGATCTAACTCTTGACCTCGCACTTGCCAGGCTGAGCTAAATCCCTGGCCCCTTCCTTTTCATTTGTTTCAGATGGGAGAATAAATTCAGCCCTGTCATTCCATTCTGTCTAGGGGGAAGTCCCGTTCCATCACTGGGAAACATTTGCATGGATTTGAACTCTGGAGTCGTACAGTCTGTGCGCTTATATGACAGTTGGAGATGTCCTTCCCTTCCTCTGTGTCTGTCTGCGAGCCTTGTCTCCCCCAGACCTTCCCAGCCATGTTCCCCGCCAGTGCCTGGCTGGGCTCCCAACCCACACAAGGCAGAGCTCCGTCCCCCTCCTGAACTCCAGGTCCGGGCAGCACAGCCCCTGGCTCAGCGGGCTCTGTAGCTCCAGCCCCACGGAGCAGCTGAACTGTTACAGAAAAGCTCCTTGCTTTTCATTTTAAAGTGAAACACTGACCCCGTCCAGCAGTGCATGTCTGTAGTTCTAACTATTCCGAGGCTGAGGCAGGAGGACTGTCATAAATTTGAGGCCAACCTGAGCTACATAGTGAGCGTCTGTTTTAGACAAACTGATGGACAAACAAAACAACCAAAAACCTGGGTATCAAAGTGAGACCTGTCTCAAAAAAAAAAATTATCAGGTGAAACATTCTATAGAATAACACTCAAATCCTCAGCCAGTTCTGCCAGGAGCTGGGGTAGCGGCCGTTCCCCCCCGGCAGGGTCCAGGCCGTTCGGATGAGGTTTATGCAGTTTGCTTCAGCTTCCCAGGACAAGAAGGAAGTCTTTGTGGTTCTTTTCAGTGTGTTCTGGACTTTGAAACACGGCTGTGAGCCTGCAGTCACGCTGAGCGGATTTGAGCTGTCAAGTCCAGCATGACCCCATCCTTCTCTCTCCGTGCAATTTTAATCGCTGGTTCTGGGGAAATAGAAGCAAACTCACAGAGCCTGTGGGAGGCGGCTGGCGGGGTCCCTCTGCTCCACGGTGCACACTCAGCTCCGCAGTCTCCTGCGCTGCACCGGCCCGACCCCCACCTCCACCTCTGCAGCATTTGGGCTCTTGGCTCCAGAGCTTCAGCCCGAGTGAAACCGAGCAGCTTCCTTATGGCCTGAATTAAGGCTGCTACACGTGGTGGCTTGGGGTGTAGCTCAGCAGTAAAGTGTGTGCTTAGCAAACACTAGGCCCTGGGCTCGAGCCCCAGGATCAAAAAAAGAGTTAGAAATGTTACAGAGTATTCGCTGCAGGAGAAACATGCACGTGTGTGCGTGTGTGTGAACGAGTGAGTGATAAACCGCACCTGCATGACACCCTCGAGTGCCCCGAAACCTTTCAGCGTGCAGCTGCCTGGACAGCTCCTGCTATTTTATAAATCACAGCCTGCCTCTCCTGTCTCTGTCTTTCTGCTTTGTCATCCCCAAAGCAGTCAAATGTAAACTAAAAGCTTCCGGAAACTTTGTTTTCACTCCACTCCCTCCTGTACCCCTCGGGAATGCTGCACTGTAAGAGCGAGCTCTTGAAGACTCACGGCCTCGCCCAGGGGCCCCAGGTCAAGGCTGGGGTTTGAAGCACACAAAGAAAATGTCTTGGGGGCCTCTGAGCTCTGGTGCACGGTGAGAAGGTCAGGCTGCCAGATGCTGGGTGACACATGTCACGGGGCAAGGAGAGGCAGGCCTGGAAGGGACCACTGAGAAGTGTCCCAGTGCAGTGTCCCACGCATCAGATAACAGCTCCTGTGCTAACAGTAGAGACACCTGGGAACCTCCCTCCTAATGAAGGCCGGGGAGAACCTCAGGGCTTGACACCTTGGACATTTTCCAACAACTCGCTCAAGCTAATATTTAGGTCTTAAATCAATCAGCAATCAATCCCCCTCTTTTCAGTGAAAACACCGTACTCTGAAATAGCCTAGTTTGGGGTAGAAATTCATATTTCCGTCTCTTCAGGGCAGTATGGTAAGCTTCAGGTTACGGTAAGATGACACCGCCCTCCAGGGTCTACTCCCTTGCCTGGCAAAGGAGAGCGGTGAGGACCTGATCAGCAGCCACATGTCTGTGAGAAAAAGAGTCGGTGCTGGAGCCAGGCCTGGAGGTGCATGCCTGTGATCTCAGCTACGCAGGAAGCTGAGACAGGAGAACCACAGGCTCAAGGCGGCCTGGGCAATGTAGAAAGAATGTGTGCCAGAGATAAAAGGGGCTGAGGATATAGTTCGGTGGTAGAGTGCTTGCCTGTGTGTGGGAGGCCCTGGGCTCAAGCCCCAGTAACACACACACACACACACACACACACACACACACACACACCATGGCACTGTTAGGGCTGGTCCTGGGCACTGCTCGGTGTTTGGAAACTCCACTTCTCCTAACCTACCAGATGTGAGTAGTACCTCCAGCCCTCCCCAGCTGTGTCAGTAAAAATCATCTCCAAGCCAGGCACAGTGCTGCATGCTTTAATCCTAACTGCACGGGGAGCCAGGTAGGAGGATCATAACTTCAAGACCAGGCTAGGAAACCTAGTGAGACCGTGTTTTAAAAATAAATAGACTGCGCATGGAGGTGTAATTCTAGCACTTGGGATGCTGAGGTAGGAGGATCACTGCAAGTTTGAGGCCAGCCTGGGCTACATAGTTGAAAGGTTTTGGCCCAGGCAGGACACTGTAGCCAGGAAAGCCACAACCGGAAGCAGGAAGCCCCATCTTGCCCTGCCCCTAGGAAGTTACTTGTGACGCCATCTTCCCGCCCCTGGGAATTTACATATGGCGCCAAACCTAGGACCAATGGGCTACCTGTGCATCCCTAATGCCCGCCTTAGGTTCCACCCCAAACCGAGGCTATTTACAGGCCCCCATGCCTTGTGTCCGCTGGAGAGATTGCCGGACGCCAGCGGTGGGGTTGCCGGTCATCTCTCTCCGTGTTCTCAGAATAAAGGCCGCTTTTTATTTTATATTTCTCATCTTTTGTTAATATTTTTCATCTTTTGGAAATAACTCTATCATTTGGTGCCGTGACTCTATCGGCAGGCAACTGACTGTTGGGCCACATACCCAAAGTCTTCTAGCCGATAGCCAGATAACATCCTGGATTAATCCCGAGCTTTTTCCTCTCCCGAGACGTTCCTGTCGCCAGCCGCCTGCACTCCGCATCGGCCAGACTGATTTCAGGTGAGCACTCCCCGGGGAACTTTTCGCACTGGGCAGCCCCAGTGGAATGTTCTCCCCGTCTGCGTGGGTCTGTGCATTTTCACGTCCTTAGGACTGCCCAGGGCAGGGTTCTTTCTGGGCAAACCTGCGCCCACAAAATCTCTCACGTTCTTTGGGTTCGGATAGCCCAAAGCAGAGATTTTTGGGACCGCCCACACTGAAAGACCCTCACTTCCCTTAAAGCCTTGCGCTTTCACGGGCAAAACTGTTACTGATCCCACGTAGACTCCATTCGTAAATCTCTCAGTGACGACTGGAGTTTACGGTTTGGAACCTTAGCCGCCGCGTGGTACCACAAATAAGTGACGACTTTTTTCTGGACCTCCGGTTTTTTTTCTTGCCTGAATCAGTCATGGGGAACGTATTTTCTAACTCCCAAAAGACGCCTTTAAAATGCCTAATTTCCAATTTACGTACTCTAAAAATTAAAGGTACCATAAAAACTAAACAACTAACTTTTTACTGCCAGGAGGTCTGGCCAACCTACCCGCTTATCGGCAAGCCTTGGCCTCGGCAAGGAACATTTGACCCCTGCATTCTCAGGAACTTGTATGATTTTTGTCAAGCTGGCAACAAGTTATTAGAACTCCCTTATGTCCAAGCCTTTCTTATTCTGAGAACACGCCCATCTCTCATTAAGTCTTGTGCTCCCGCTGAGATACTTTTAGCTAACTCTACCGCGCCGCAAACTTTTCCGTCCTGCCCTCCAGTGTTTTTCCGGCCGCCGCCTGCCTACCACCAAACTCGTTCCCTGCTGTTACCTCCCGCCGGACCGCTCTCTCCTCCCCCTATGCCTGATTCTCTCAGCAGCTCTAATCCCTCTCCGTTGTTGCAGATACCTCCCGCGGTGCGATCGTCTCCCTCTCCACCTTCCAGGACCCATAACTCTCCCAGCAGCTCTAATCCCTCTGTGTCACAGTTATCTCCCTGTGTTCGATCCTCTCCCCCTCTGTCTCCGGGGACCCATATCTCTCCCAGTGGCTCTGATCCTTCTGTTAGCGCTTCCCCGCAGTCTCTGACTTCTTCTCCTGAGAATTCTGTATCCCCTACAGCATTCTCACCGCCCGCCCATACTAGGTCTCGGTCACTATGTCCTTCCAGCAGGTCGCGTGATTGTTCCAGCTTGCGCGGGGAACAGTCGCCATGTTGCAACCCTCTGCCACATGGCATGGCGCCGCCATGTTCCAGAGGGCCACATGGCGACAGGGCGCCGCCATGTTTCGGGCCACGTGACAGGGCGCCGCCATGTTTACAGGGCCCTCACTGTCAACAGGCGTCTCCTTGTGGCTCCTCTTGTGAACTACAACAGCCGCCCTGTTGCAGTGCACATGATGCTTCATTGTGCTGCCGACAGCAGTCCTCTAGCTGCAAGGCACACAGTGAGACGCCATCTGCTCGTGTTTCCCAGGGTGACCGGCAGCAGCTCTGTAGCCGCTCTACAGATGATTGCTCACATGCGCCTACCGGAAGGATGGCTGCTCAGTGGCCCTCTGCTCCAGAAACTCCTCAGGCTCTGCTACCGCTTCGGGAGCAAGCTGGCCCCGAGGGACTTGTTAACATCCATGTGCCTTTTTCCCTTTCTGATCTATCTCAGATTACCCATAAATTAGGTAGCTTTTCTGTTGACCCACAGAATTATATCAGGCGATTTAAATTCATTACTAATTGTTATGATTTACATTTTAAGGACGTTTATAATGACTCTGGGCCTATAGCTGTGCCAGAGCAGGTCAAACATACTAACTATAACAAACTTTTAAAACAGGTCCAGGAGGCTAATCAAAACCCAGCTGTGTTCCTAAATTGGCTTTCTAATCCTTGCGCCCTGCAAGCAGTTCCAGCTTCGCGCGCTATGTTGGGCCGCCTCCCAGCCCCTCCCTCCCCTGTGCGCCGTCGTCGCCGCCGCTGCCATCTTACACGTTTCCGGGGGCAGTCTGAGCCCGCTCCTGCGCGCTACATCCCAGTGCTTGCCCCACCCATTGGGTGTGCTCTGCCGGAGCTCCGCGAAACAGCAGCTCAGCGGCTCTGCTCAGGCATGCTTTTTTTACAATTTGGCTCCACTCAAAAGATGCTTTTTTATTACAATTCTCAAACCATTTAATCAAGGTTTTTGGCCACCTGATAATTTTACCAGCCTTGTTTATCAATCAAAGCCTTCACCAATCTCCTGTTTAACAACTAAGGTAATAAATTCCTTTTTGCTGGGAACCACTAGCTGTATTTCAAGACAAGGGTTTTCTTCAAAGTTTTATTTTATTTGTCTTGGTTCATACTACTGCAAATAACAACTTTAAAAGTAAATGTGTTCAGAATTTGACAGTATTAGATCAGTTTTGATAGATTTATTCATAAGATTGCTAAACCTTTACTGCAAAACGTTTCCATTAAAGCCTTGTTTGGCAGACTAAAGCTTTGTTAATTCTACGTGTCACCCTATAAAAAAAAGCGGTGTGCCATCCAGATAAAGCCTGCTCTCTAATCCAAAATGCCAATATTAAATTCCTGCATACTTACTTAATTCTACTATAGTCCAAATCCCAAACAAAAAGGCAAAACTTGACCTTCAAACCTTAGAGAGATCTTAATATGGTTTTTTATATTTTTAACACTTGTGACACTTGGAGTTCTGAGACAGGTAAACCTACACAAGGTGGAGCTGCCTGCCCCCTCCATGGACCACGCTCAAATGCAGCAGAAGATACTGGGCAAGAAAATGCCCCATCCTGGCATTCTTTGAGACCTTACTCCAGGGCTACTGGACTGTCCTAGCCACCAGAGAGTGGGTAAGCCATCCTAAGTTCTAGCCCTCATAGGAAATGTCGACACTGCCAGATTCGTCACCGACAGAAAATCCGCTGCTGAAGACTGAGGAAGTTCAGGGCAACAACAGCCCCCTTTAAGGTGTCCGTCTCAGATTCCAAGTCGCACAAAACTCTCAGGTAAGACATTCTCTATATTTGTGGACATAGAGGCCATATATACAGAGTTCTTCCTGAGTATTCAGGCTGCTATATTAAGTCCTCAATCTCTATGATGGGGTATTGATGGTCAACCTATGCCATTTACAAACAGGGCCTATTTTGTGCAGGTCCCAGTCCTAAATCTTAAAATGCCTTTTATACAGGCTGACTTAGACACACTGAGGCCTCAACAGCTACTACCTGTTGTTGCTGGTGGACCCTTCCTCAGTGATATAGACCACCTCCTTCCTTTCTTATTCACCAATTTCTCAGGTAACCCTAGTCAAGACACAGATGCATTTTTGTCTTCTCACTTGGTTTATACTTTTTCAGGATACATAAAAGCCTTTCTCATACTTGCTAAAGTTCTGTTACAGCAAATCATTCCAAGGACTACAACCAGGTTACAGTGACCCATGCCTAAATCAAAGTTGCTGGACTGCCACCCTGGTTTCACATCACTCAGGCTAAGAGGTGCCCTCCCAGCCCTAAATCTGATCATTCTGAGTGCTCATCTCATCTTCTGTCGCCTACCCGTCTCTATCTCACAAAGGCCTCGCAGCCACATTTAACAGGCTAAGTCATGTTTTGTTATCCACTTTGGCTCCTAATTTCTTACATTCTATTAATGATCATTTTTACAGCAGGACTCCACTCCTCCTAACCCCACGTTTAATTTTCAGAATTCTGCCTTACCATGGAAATGTTTCTACCTCAACATGGTCCTGATAAAATGATATGTCTAAATCAAAGGCACCTTTCCCTCTACCTCACCTGGGTCCTTAAATATGACAGTGCCATGTCTCCTCATAACATTTTGTCTCTTTGTTTTTCCAGTCTGACATACGTGCATTCACCAGTGAAGTTGTCCTGGCTAAAACACCTGGCAGCAGCATCTACCTGGGCATCAACCTTCATCCCGTCGACTCCCCTAGGCTCCAGTACAGCGCCCTTTGCCAGCAGGAAGTAGTTAAAGAGAGAAATCTTCGCCCCTTTTCATAATAATAACCATAAGACGGGATATGAAAGGTTTTGGCCCAGGCAGGACACTGTAGCCAGGAAAGCCACAACCGGAAGCAGGAAGCCCCATCTTGCCCTGCCCCTAGGAAGTTACTTGTGACGCCATCTTCCCGCCCCTGGGAATTTACATATGGCGCCAAACCTAGGACCAATGGGCTACCTGTGCATCCCTAATGCCCGCCTTAGGTTCCACCCCAAACCGAGGCTATTTACAGGCCCCCATGCCGCGTGTCCGCTGGAGAGATTGCCGGACGCCAGCGGTGGGGTTGCCGGTCATCTCTCTCCGTGTTCTCAGAATAAAGGCCGCTTTTTATTTTATATTTCTCATCTTTTGTTAATATTTTTCATCTTTTGGAAATAACTCTATCAATAGTGAGATGCTGTCTTCAAAAAAAAAAAAATGCACCACAAAGGTTGGCATCACCTAGGACACCGAAGTACCGCGCTCAGGCGCCAGAGGGAGCAAGAGATTTCATACTCGCAATAGGCAGATGGGAAATGACGCAAACACCACCCCAAGAAAAAGGTGCAGAGGTACAGAGACTCCAGGGCGTGTTAGTGAGCTCGAGCCCTCTGTGAAGTCAGCCTAAGGATATAAACAGTTGTTCTTCCAAGTGCCCAAGTCTCACCAAAGAGCACAGGCATAGAGAGAACTAGGGG